TCCGAGAGCTTGTGAAAGAAACTCATAAGCTTACTCGGGTGGGACTCGAACCCACGACCTCCTGCTTACTAGTGCAGATGTCTTAACCACTCGACCACCGAGCTTGCCGGGGTCGGCTGGCTGGTCCGACCTCACACTTTTCATAACTTAGTTCTAGCTGATGTTCTGTGTGTAGCAAATTTCAATTTGATTGCTCAATGCAGTTAACCTCGGTAAAAAAGGTAAGTTGCCCTCCTCAAAAATGTGAAATTTATCAAGTCAAGAAGACAGTCAGCACTGGATATGCCTGGTGGGACACTATTCAAAGGATACCAGCCGTGGCTTGCTCTTGCGGAGGATAGTCGGCGGCGTGCTGAACTTTGACGTGATGGGCGATGTGATGGGAATGAGACTGCCGTAGCTGCCCCTGGACAACTCGCTGATGGCCCGACTGTCAAAGTGGTAACCTGAGTTGGAGGGGGGAAAACCCCAAAAGTTGGCATCAGGGGAAAGCTTTGCTACAAAGCCTTCGCCGTCCCAAATTTCAGGGTTGAACCTTGTCTGCTGCACGGATGGCGTTTGTGTTATGTTCCCGGCTTGTGCGCGCACATTGGCGGGGACGGGCATGCTCAATTTTAATATTGACCCCTTGACCTCCATTGATCACAGGAGCCATGGTTCTGTTTTTTGATCAAATGTCTTGTGTTTGGGCTCATGCCTTTTTAATTTTGCGCGATAAAATGCGTCTCTCAGGGACAACAACCGTTGTTTGTTTTTTGCATGGAGACTGTGAGCAGGAAGCACAGCAAAAAGAAGGCTAACCTTGGAGAAAAAATTTGCTTTTAAAACTTACTGAAGTGACAATGGAAATGTCTGTGCACGCCCTTGCAATTTTTGCACCGAGCACGGCAACCGTGAAATGTTCAACGTGAAATACGCTAACCGTTAAGCAAATTTTTGTGTTATGGTTGGCAAAAAATTTGCTTAACAGTAAGCAGCACGGTGAAATTGGACCCCCATTCTCCTCTAAGGCCCGAAAATAAGGCCAGAGAAAGATTGTTAATTTACAGAACTGTGTCGAATATCTAATCGATTATCAAATATTTGAATATTTTTTCCGAATTTGAATATTCCAATGCAAAATTCATGAAAAGGGAGAATTTTCCTTTGTTTTAAAATGAGAAAAATCGCACTATGGAGGCTTGTTTCAAGCAGATTCAAATGAAAAGCAACAGAACATTTTTTCTCATGATGATTCAAAAATTAAATCATTCATTAAAATATTTAAAAGGAATAAATTGTCAACAGGGCAAGAAGCATTGTTCGTCTGTTAAATCTTGCTAAATCGTGGCTGGAGATAATCCTAGATGTGAGAAGCTATTATAGTGATTATAATGTACAATTGTGTGCGACTGTGCATTATTGCAACTGATTTTGTATACATGGTTTGTTAATCACCAATCTACTGGTCAGTACAACCGAATATTAATTCCATCAAATATCTGAATATTTAAGGTTGAATATTTAAATAGTGAATTATTCAAATTGCCTCAGCCGTAGTAAATTAGCAAGAGATTTTGAATTCGTTTTCAAAATAAATACCTGTAGTATTTCTGAGAGACATCCCCCGGCTCGCGAACGGAGGGGATTCATTGTCCTGGTTGCTCAGCATCGTCTCAAAATCATTGAAATCGGGTACTGACATGTCCAGATCCAGGAGGTTAGAGGTGTCGGTGAAGTCGGGCATACCCCTGGGGCAAAAGATTCAATTGCTCGGTCAGCCAACACAATGCAGGTTACACACTGTCCGGGAAGATGACACCCCCTTGAGATAATCACGAGGCAGTTCCAATTAAGTCACAAACCATTATCAACTGCAATCAGGGCAATCCTTGATTACGGTTTATGCTGAAGTACCCGCGTCTGGTCCTGTGACTGGTCCTGACAAGACACCACAACCTCAGAATGCTTTTTAAATGCACAACTTTGGACTTTTAACCTCTTCCCGCGGGGATTCTTTTGACCGTGACTGCTGGGCTGCGGTTGGCCCAGCATGCAAAGCTCTGTCCAGCAGCAGGCCCACATTGAAACCGCAGCTGCATGGTGAATAGACAGCATGTGTACATGGCTCCCAGTATGAAGGGGTTAATGCTATCTGCCCCGAGCTGAAGTGCACCCCCAATCGGCGAAAGAAAGACAGGTGGTTACAAGCGGGTTCTTGCACGCATTCTGGGTTTACGCAAAGACCATACATTCCGGAATGATTTCGTTGCACGTACTCAGCGTGCTCCGCGTCAAACGCGCATATACCTATGCGCCTCATGGCTCGCGTGACATTTCTTACCACATCACCCCTTTATTCAAACTTTGAGACTATATCGCGGCATGATAGCCGCTACCTCCATGGATTAGTCTGAGCCTGTGTAAATTTACAGACTTAATGAAAATAACTTTGGAGTGAGGAGACATCGGACTACGGAGACATCATCACACTACAGAGTTTGCTGTACATGCCTGGACGTCCTCTGCCCTGTGACACAGGAGATGCCCGTGTGTAAAGATTTCATCCGGTGCGAAGTGGTGAAATCATTGACACGCAACGGGGACCTACTTAACTTAATTTTTCAAAACAAATGGTACCGATTGGCTAGATCTTTTGACCCCCCAAAAAAGGAAAAAAAAAACATAACATTTTACCAGTTGACGTCAGATCTTCTTAATTGAAAAAGCTGCTGGGGGTGGGTTTTTGGGTTTTTTTTACGGCAAATTCTTCAACCTTGCAAATGCGCTTCGACCCAACCAAGTACGCGTTAATACGTCAACCGCAGAAATGAAAAAAAGAGTTCTTAATTAAACGAGTGTACACGTCCTCCGTGGAACATATAAGAAAAATAGGCGCGTTTACTCCTCACCTGATGTCAAGCGGTCAAGAAAAGGAGAAAACATGGGAATTTCGATCATACCTCATTGGACTCAAAATCTCCTCGTCACGGACAATCCAAAACATCGGACTGTCCTCTGCACCACGGTTTGTTGGGCGGCGATCAGGAGATGTCCACTGACTGACTGATGGCTGTTGCCGAGTGGCTGAACTGGTGCTATGGGTCTGGTGCAATGTACGGACGATTCCCTGCCCTGAGCCCCGAGTCCTCGGTGCGTCTAGTTACCATGGTGACAGAATGTAAAAGAATCTGCCTTATGATTGGTTACGTATTTCAACGGAATGCGCACAAACTTAAATAGTGCTTTACTGCTGTCACAGAGGTCCTGCGCAATCAAAATGATTTAACTTCTCTGTGACTAAAATAAAAGTAACAACCAGTTCAGAATTGAAATGTTTGTTCAAGCAAAACTGATTAACTTTTGTAGGCCCAAATCAATTGTCAATATGCTTGAGTTGCAAAATTCACTATTCAGGTACTGTTCTTTGACTTTTTTATCCTCACGAAAAATTCTCATGTGTTTTCAAGGCTTGAAACCTGAAATAAAAATCCATGTTTCAAATTGTTTCCCATGGAAATCAGAACCCCAAGTGCTAGTGGCATCCTCATGTTTGTCTTGACTGTCTTTGTCACTGATCAGTCCACTGATCAACCAATAGTTGATATTGACTGGTAATCTGTGCAAGAAATACTTACCGGGCACCAGGCAAAATCAATTGTCGCTGCTTGGTCTTGCCCATGGGGTATCAGTTTTTAAAAATGTCACTGGGTATGGACAGACAGTTTTAAACACCTGCTGGGAAGACAGGCGGAAATTGCAGTCCTAGCAAAAACTCTTCAAAAGAATACATTTTCAGACCAGAATGGCCAAAACGGACAAGTTTTAATTAGTTTGGCTGTAAATACAGTGAAAATTCATGGGAATCTTCTACTGCTATTCAGGGAAACTTACTCTGTGTAGGGCGCGATGACTCTGCTGCGGAAATAGAGTCTTGATAGAAACAGGTGATCTGGAATCCAGGAAAGACAGGGAAAGGTTCCCACAAAATGTCCATGACAATCAGTTTTTGAGATAACATGTATGTACAGAATTCTCAGGAGAATTCAAGCAGGCAGGGCTTCTGACAGAATGATTTCGAATCTTATTTATCTTATAAGCAACTTCCGTGCTTAAACGGCTCAATGAAATTGGCCCTTGTGCTGAAAAGTGATGTTGTTAAACCCTTCGAGATGGGTCACAATTTGCAGAGAAAGGAAAAACAGGTGTTGCTGTGGCAACCTGAGTGTGTTCACCTGGTTGCTAAGGGGAAGTTGTTTGACCGGAGTGTAGGGATTCTGTGTCTCCACTTTCCGTTTCATCGTCGAGTTCCAGTGGTTCTTGATGGCGTTGTCCGTTCTTTCGAAATAAACAGTAACCAAAAAAAGTTTTTAGCAAAATACATCCTACACACAAAGGATCCAAAAATGAAGAGTTATCCCATCTTTCAATTTCAACATGGCTGACTCTGGAACAAGAACAGAGTTCCTAGAACATTCTTTAGTGTTCAGCCTTTCAAGACGCTCCTCTGTACCTGCCCGGGAGCTGCTTGGCAATCTCAGCCCAGCGGTTGCCGAGGCGCTTGTGAGCATTGTAGATGATGCGATCCTCATCCTGCGTCCAGGCACTCTTCTTGATGTCTGGATTGAGGTGGTTGTGCCATCTGCAGAGGAGAGATTTCAGGAGAATGTCAAACAACCCAGATCAGAACCCGGAACTGTGGAAGAGCTCAGCACAGATCAGTTTCATATCTTTCTCAGCCATCCAAGGACTGATCTTTTTGAAACTTGACGTACATGTAAAAAATCATCAATCATATCTTCATAATGTGACCGGCTCTGCAAAAAGGTGTATTATGTCACATTTTTTGGAATTTGAGTAACGTGTACGTATATAATTAAATGGTTACATCCTAAGCTTTCATTTGAAATATAATTCATCCCAGTGGCATTTTGCGTTTTGGAGTTGCCATTTGCATATTCATATAATTTAATTTTATCACACATGCTTTCAGAGATAATGCCCTTTAAACATAACGAACAGAAACATTAAACTTAAATTAGAGTCTCTCTTGGTTTTCCTTAGCAACAGAGGCTTTCTGGTCCAGCAATTGGCCTCAAAATATTTCCAAATATTTTCACCCTCGGCACATAGAATGGGCCATTACGGGTTTTTGCATTGCGCGATTTAATACACTGTACACCTTTTTGCAGAGCAGGTCTCAATTTTCAATGCAATACACTGACGACTAGTGTCGCCATATTCATGTAGCGTTCACCCTGCCACAGTTAGCCCCCCTTTAGGGTAACGAGTAGAATCAGGAAGAAGGGTCCAAGATACGCAAGACGCAGGTGCATGCTGGAGAGAAGAGACCAAGGTTTGTCTGTAAGTCTTGCTTCTTTCAAACATAAAAAGAGACAGAGTCTAGTACCCACCGCTCTCGACACTGTTTACCAGTTCGGCCAGCCAGATACTTGGAGATGAGAGACCAGCGTTTAGGACCGTACTGCTTGACCAGCTGAACCACTCTGTCATCCTCCTGAAACGAAGAAGTCATACCGTCTCTCAGTTTGTGGGACTGAAGGTATCTATCTTCTAGGCGAGACTGCTTTGCAGTCAGGCTCATAAATTAGATCGTAGTTTACCTGATGGGGTTGCCTTTAAATTACATCTAACCATTCATGGAGGCAAAAATTAGGACAAGCCTATTTCCTGTGCAGAATGTACTGCATAAGTCGGCCTGATCTTGACGGCAAAAAGTTCAGCCAAGTCAGGAGGGAGGGGGGAGTAAGCGAGGAACAATACGGGCGATTCGCAATAGTGCGCCACCAAGAGTTTTGCGACACGCTGGCCAATCATAACGCGCGAAATTTGTCGACCATTTTCAAACGCGAATTGGGTCGACAAATTTCGCGCATTGTGATTGGCCAACGCGCTGCAAACTCTCGGTGGCGCACTTTATGTGAAACGGCCATATTGCGGCTCACCTCCTTGGTCCAGGGTCCTTTCACGAGGTCTGGGTTGAGTGCTTTCTGCCAGCGATGGTAGCACTGCATCTCGGAGCGGTCGGGGAAGAAGCTGGCAACGTGCTTCCAGTCCTCCGAGCCGTAAGTTTCGATCACCCGACGGAGAGTTTCATCCTGAAACAGAGGAAAAAAAATGCTGGCATCGCCCATCCTACATCTGCACTTGAAAAAATGTTACACTGAGTGTTGTTGTTGTTTGGAAAGGGTTCCATACAGGGACATCTCTCATTTCCCTACAGTAGTACAGCAGTCATCAGAAAGCGACGTCACGTCCTGAATAGTCAACCTCAGCCAAGGCATATTTACTTGGCAAATGCTCATAAATTTTCAGACCGGTCTCACAGGGTTTGTGCACATGGACTCACGAGAAGTCCATGTATGGAACTCCCTCCTCTTTTTCTCGTCAAGTGCCGCAAGTTCATAAAAAGGTTAGGAACATCGGAACATTTTGCTTGCCGTAAAGCATACCTCGTCTTTAGTCCAGCGCCCTCTGTTGATGTGTTTCTTTCCACAGGTGTCACTCTGCGAGCTGCTGTCATAGTCCTGATCGGTGATGGTACCATTGTCGCTGGAGTCACTGTCGTAACTGCTAATGGATGGGAAAATGAAAGGATCTTTGTAGGACTGGGTCAAATTACATCCACGAAAAATTTTGCCCAGCGGAAAAATAAACAGGTTCGGGGCAGGGCAGCGTGTTACAGAGAACCTAATGCTCAACTTAGCTTCATGAATCCTGAAAGGAAAAGTCAGAAATGGCACTTAGTCCGAATACAATGTCATCAATGTACGTGTAGGCATGAACTCCGACAAAGAGTTGTCACAATAGCCTAAAAAGTACAAGTCTCAAGAAACACTCACTGGCAGTGGCACCTGCTCTGCTTACCGTGGCTCGTGGATGTACATGTACGTACAAAAAGGCAAAGGCAAAAGCATAGCCTAACCCTGCTATGAACTGACAGTGGCAATGTTAAATGTAATCTCGTCTCTTGCACAAACTCATTGCATTCCCTCCTGAGGGATTTTTCAAAGGCAAATCAACTCGGGGTCCACATGATGAAGCACAATAAAGTTGCGCAAGTTCCAAGATTGCACTTAACGCTTATAATAATTAACATGATTCATTGAAATCTCCACCCCCAATACTTGTGCTGTGAACTTTTAAAAACGGAAAGAGTTCCATGTACGGACAACACTTGATGCCCGCACAAACCTATGAGATTTGCCTAAAAAAAGGTGTTTTGAAAATAGGACATGTTATCACTTTCTAATGGCTGTTATCTGGTTATGGAAAATTAGTGTTGTCCGCACGCGAATATGGAACTCTTTAAAATTATTGTATGTGTGCATTCACTGCACATTTATTAACAATGCTAACATAATTTCACTAGACTGTAGACATGCAAGAAGGATACATGATCAGGTCAGGGACCAAACCACAAGCTAGTGACGTCCCTAGGTCCGCTTATGTCACTTGTTCAAGCAGAAGTGACGTCATTTTTATCAGGTCATGTGACGTGATAATGATGTAATTTCCCGCAAGATTTTGGGAAATAATGAGGCCTGATATGCCGGCAGCCAACATGGCCACTGATGCTGTTCCCACTGGAGTCTATGGCAAAAATATTTCCAATCGCTGTTTTGGAAAATCACCACAGTAGACATATAACTTGCCACTGTGAATAGATGGAGACTTTTTAATGGCAACAGTTTCATGCATAAAGTAAACTTCAGCAATGCTTTATTTTTTCGCATAAACATGTTCATTGGAAGAATTGGACTTGCCTACCAAACCAAATGCAACACCTCCAGTGCAAGATTCAACTGAAAAATCTCTTCGATCTGCTTTTAGCATGTTTAGGGATATCAAACATGCCAAATGAAAGGAAAGTTTCATTAAGATCTGGGCTAGGCATGTTTCCTGTAAACTTGATTAATCAGAGCGGTGTGTATTGAATTGTTTGGTCGATAAAGAGATCAACATCATCTGTGAACCGTGATCTAAAAAAGGCTCAAAATTATGTCATTGTTGCACAATCGAGTGGCGTATGCATAGTCAATCGTCGCTGGATTGTGGTTTGGTTGCAAACCTGAAAATGGGCTTCCAATCAAGCCAATCACAACATGATCACACCAACAACACCCTTGAACAAGATAAGATCTGTACCTTGGTCAATAAGAGTGACAGTATTATTGAATATTGTATTAAATGAACACTAAATAAATGAAAGGCAAAACTCAGGTTTTGTTGTTTAGTCAGTTGTTAGCAGAGTGGAGACAAACAAACGAAAGACACACATCTGAATCGTATATAGGCCTAGTCGGCAAAGCCTCTATCAGGAAACATTCATACCAACCATGGAGGTAGGAAAAGACTTCCTTGGTTCCTACCTCCATGCACCAACTTGCGGCTCAGTTTGGGCCATGATGGAAAAACAAGAATAGGGACAACTGTGGAGTCGTGAGTGGCTGCGTGTTTCTTCAATAGGAGCTGATCAGCGAATATTTATCAAGATCATGAGCAAATAAGTGTAGGCCTAGTCATGCTGGTGGCCTTTCTTTGACATGATCTGATGATCATCACGATGTTCTATTCATGATGATGAAACGGTTTGGTAAATTGGTGACGTGTATCAAGCCTTGTGTAGGGCCTACTGCATCAGTGTGCGTGATCGCTGGTTTATGCGCTACACTAGGCCTACCTTGACAACGGAAAAGCCGTAGAAATATGACAACAAACCTGCATGATTTTCCAGAATACATGACTCAAATTCCTCTCTATATGTCACGACATTGGATGCAGTAATCTGTGATTCCCGATCCGCAAATATTCAGCAGAATTCCGACCCTCAAGAATGCAACTCCGCTCTACGCGGCCGGAAGTCTTTATTGAAATTGCGCGCGCCGAATAATGAGATGCATAAGCATAGACTGTGATTGGACAATTCCCCGCCGGAATGACGCACGCATCATTACGTAAAGTCTTAAAATAGGACCACGCGAACACAGGCCCTGCGCGTGAGACGATGCAATCTCCTGTAGGTCTACAGCACATCCGTCTCTGTGAGCTGAGCTGAGAAGAATTTAGTTTTTTTTTTACACCGAGCCTCTCCGTTTGAAGATGAGGAAGCCATGAGCAATGAAACTTGTATCACGCAGAATCGTCTCTATCTCTGCCTGATATATTTTCACCCCCTGACTTGGAGGTTGTAGGCCTAAGTTCAGTAACAATTCAAACACTGCCAAGCCAACAAAGCATCAAACTACACGCCTGCAGTCAACTACAGAACTAGGCACGTATAGGAAGACGATTTTACCAGAAAAATAAAATGTCTCTGGACTGTAGCTGTGGGGAGTCAGCGCGTAGCGCGGAGCCTGTACGGCGTGGGGTCCGGGACCCGGAGGTTTGACGCTCCGTAGTGCATGATAAGCCTCACAGGAACACTTTTTGAGCAGAAGATATTTTGAAATTACAGCATAATTTAAAATCAAAATCCATGTTAAAGGACAGTTTTTAGAAAATGAAAAGTTAATTATCGTAGGCCTACTTAAAAGATTAAGATTTGATGTAATAATTCAATTTCAAAATGACAAATCTTAATTTAAACTGCACATAATGAAGGCGATGTTTCGTAAACCCATAACAGGAAAAGCGTCTCACAGCAACCGTAGTAAAAATAAACAAAATCAAGAAACCAAACTTTGCCCAAGAAAATGGCGGTCACCTAAAAAAAAAGTATTGGCAACTCGAAGCACGCATTGTAAGTGGAGCTTTCCTTTAAAAGAAAGAAAAAAAAACCTTTTTGTGAACAAACCAACCACAATGTTGAAGCTTTGCCTTCAGAGACATCACAAACATGCTCATGGATATACAAAATAGCATGGGAATACGTTTTACTAAATTGTATATATCAACTTTGTAGTTACTTGAGGACCCCCCATGAATGTTCACAGTGAACAAAATCTTTCCCTGCCTCACCCATTAAAACATTCAATATAAGAAAGACGCTTAAAAACACCTAAAAAACGCTTAAAAAGTCACCTAAAAAAGTATTGGCAAGTCGAAGCACTCATTTCACATTTCAATTTATTATGTGGTTATTTATTGGTGTGCCTCCTGTTTGAGACTCTGTCCTGTGCAAACATTCTCATCCGACAGTTTCCAGTTCAAAATAGTTTAAATCAGATTATGATATTATCAACATCAACTGATTTCCCAAAGCAAGATTTCAATTCAATTAGAACACATTGACTTGATCGATCAGTTGATTCGCGTGTGCACGACGTCAGTGTGTCGTGCATCAGTTTCTGTTTGCAGAGTTTGCGCATTCACTTTGGTGGCCGCAGCAATAAATAGAGCTGTGAGGAGTAACACTATCTATATGTTAAAAATATTAAAGCTTACTATACTTATAGTATAACATACTATAACTGTCTTACAGTAGAAATGTAATTTAAGGGGACCAGCCTACAAAGTTTTTATTTGTACCACACGACCTCGTAAGGCAGCTTAAAATGTCGCGGCCGCAGCCACGTTTCCGCATGATGTATTTCTTGGAAAGATGGAATACTGAGATAAAAAGACGACTTTCTACGATATTGCATTTGTAGAGAACCGTCTTTCCCCGATGTTGTATTTCGGACGGACGTCTTTCCCTGATCATATGTCGGAAAGATGTCTTTCCTCTATTTTGTATTTCGGTAAGACGGCTTTCCACTTTTTCTTATCTTGGAAAAACGTCTTTCCATGATGATGTACCACGGAAAGAAGTCTTTCCGAGATGGTATAATAGGAAAACACGTCTTTCCGTGTCATGGGTCATAATACGGATACATGTATTGCGAAGCCTGAAGACTCATCTTCCCCATTGAGAAGGGGCGGGACTGAAGATCCTGATTGGAAGGGGATAGAGCAATTTCCATTTTCCAATGCGATCTGAGTAAAATTATCACACACTCCTACAAATAATATCAACTCTGAGAATACAAAGTACACAATTACAATAAAATTATTACAGCCTCTGTTTTCGGGGGTGGGGGCACTGGCCTCCCGGCCCCCGGGCCTGGTTCCTCCGTGCCCTTAGAAGGAGGCTAATTCTTTAAACTTGAACGCTGAGACGAAACCGGGTATTGAAGGAAACGAACACCCCCCCCTCAAAAAAAAAAAGAAACTCAAAGCTTTTCCCCATAGTGCAACCATGGAAACGACTGGACGGTGGTACAGGATATTTGTGAGACTCCAGGTTGCATAATCCTCTGCGTGAGTGATTTTTCGTCTGGGAACCGGACCGATTGTACCAAGACCTAGCCCCTACTGACCTACAGGCCATCTGTGTTTCTGCTATACCCAGCAAGAAATTAGACCGAGTAGTACCCCCCCAACATGTCCAATCCGTATACACATTCCAGACTATTTTTACTTAACACATCCCCCCAAGATGTCTGAAAGGAATTCCCCAGATTCCTGCGAGACAATGACCAACACAAAGCAGGGGGGTTCTCTCCGTCTCATACCTTGCTGCATATGTGACCTACAGGCCATCTGCATTTCTGCTGGTGGCTTCATGCAGTCCATACAATTAAGAGCATTGGGCGTCCAGACTTTTTTTTATATGACGCCAACGGTCGATAGTGGAACAAATTCAGCATTTCTAATCTAAACATAATATACATTCCTTACACAGGTGCACATTTCCCTCAGGATGAACGGTTGTTCCGCAGCATGAAAACAGACCCTCATGGAAAACAACCGTTCAAGACAGAAGTAAATAGAAGTTGAAACGGCGAGATTGTCAGAAGTCGCGGAGGCGTCGAGGAAAACATATGCTTACTTAATGGACGAATATCTGAAGGAGAAGCAGCGCGAATACGCCCGCTGGGTCGCCTGAGTTTCAGTGCATCCACATGAGAATGATGGAACTGTTTGTGGCTAAAGAAAGGTAAACTACCCTGTTCTTACCAACCATCCTCCAAATCAAAGGGAGTTCGGCTATGGTCTTTTTCGTGGCTTAAAGCGGAGAATGCGAGGGCACATGCTTCAGAAGGGTCAACTGTATTAAATAGTTCTTGAACACTTGTTCAGTTGTTATTTTAAGCTGAATATGTACCGCTTTAGTTAAAAACAATCTTCAAGGGTACAAATTTGGACTGGAAATTGAATAACATTTCAAAACTGATATTTTCCAACACTGTTCCTTTCTTGTTACCGTGTGCACTCATTTCACGCAATTAAGCCAGCACTTCCTTCTTCCGTTTTGTCTGTTGATTCTGTGTTCCCCCTCTTTTTGTTTATAGAGGCTTTGCATGATAGCCATGTTGCAGGGCAGTTGTTTTGTTCCACAGGAAAGCTCCTTTGTGCATACCCTGTGCAACAAAAGCACTGGCCTGCAAGATGGCGGCCATGCAAACCCTCTATAAATTGTACTCACGACACTACATGATTCTGCTGAAGCTTCTGCGCCATTCGGGTACCTAGTATTATTAATAGCATGCTCTGAGTCGATGCACTGTATGCGCTTGGCCGGTCGTAAACGTTTGCTATAAACCAGAAAGACCAAGGCTCCGGAGAGAGGGTGCGACTATGAGGGCGAGGGCAGCTGTGGGCGAGGGCATTATCAGCAAGTAGTTGAATGAGGAGTGGTCGTGTTGGCCAGACGCAAACACTCAGGATGCCGGTGGGGCGGGGCATGGCGATTAATTGCGCTGCACCGTCAGCTGGCTACGGCTATCATAGCCCATGCAACGACTCGATTTCAAGCCTAGCGAGAAGCCTACCACACCACCTTCAAAATGTCGGCAGGTAGTCCACCTGTTTTCAAAGTTATTGGTGAGCTCTTTTTGCCTATCGCCCATTCTTTAGAAAAAACTCGCCGAGGACAAACTCAGTCATATTCAACCGCAAAGTTCACTCTCGAATCTTGACACAGAAAGGAATCAAACTGAGTTATACCACATCAAAAGTACAATAGCCGATTTAATTAGAAATGTTGCCCTTAAAAATCAAATAGAAATTAAAATTTTATATAAAGATCTGATGTTATGGAAATAATGCTTAGTTTATTACATAACTTTTTAAAAATATGCTTTGTGCTGTGGGAGTCATTCCTCTAGCTTTGAGAATGTTTCTCAAGGTGAGTCTTTTTCCTTTTACAAAATATTGAAGATAATAAGATATTTTGTACATGCAAGAACTCATGTAAAACAGCTTGCTACGATGGGATGCAGTGGCGTTAACAATGTCTTTGGTCGGAGGGGGGAGACATGAATTGTTTCTGGCAAAAGCGACCACCCACTTTCTTTTTTACCCAGGTTTGTTACACCCATCCCCGGCTGCTGCTTTCAATTTTAAAAACAAATGTCTCAGTGGGGTGATTGCCCCACTCCCTCCCCTGCTTGATGTATCACTGATTATGAGTCTCTTATAGGGATGACATAACCGTTTGAAAGCCGCAAATTTATTCGTCGGTAGTGAATGTCTCTCCAAATTGGCCCTATTCACAGTTTTGCCTCACCGACTTGAAAACGAGGCAACTTTTTTTTGTCATTTAAGGAACCTTATCAGCAGGCGCTGAGCCGGGACCCCAAGAACAAAAAGGGAAAAAAAGGAATATAATGAAAAACATAAGTATAAAGTGCACCAATACCATTGTAAACAGTAAGCAGTTTTCATACCTTGAAGAAGACGCGCAAAAAGTGAGTCTGAGGGGGGAAAATCATAGCATGGCTCCTTTCAGTTCTTGCTATTTCGTAGAGCCATTCCATGCATGTTCTCGTCGCTAGTCGCCGGGCAGCTAGACACATGTTCCATCCAGTGCGCAGATTGGTTATAACGAAGAGCCGTAGACAATTCCCAAAATAAACGTCACCATCAACATCGGGATTCCCAACCCGATACCACAGTTAGAATAAAATCTGGCTTGTGCAGACGCCTTCCGGGAACCAGAGATATCCCCAAATTCAAAAAGTCGACCCACCTGTGGGAAAAATGCACAGTAAAATCGATCAATCGTTTAGAATTCAATCAATCATTTTGTGCGGTAAGGTATCATCTGCAATCTAGGGCTGATCAGCTAAAAGTGAATTGTTTCCCATGACGTCACCGGTTTGTACCCACCAAGTGCGATCAAGGAAAACCACCGGCTATGAAAGATGCTTCGAGTACATGCTGATTTTTAAGACCCGGTGGTGTTGTCAGTAATTATAACAATCCCAGATTTTTGAGTAGTTTTCTTTCCATCTCTTCCTGAAGGGAGGGTATGACATCAACGTTGCCTTATTGACAGTCACCACCAGTGGGGTAACTGCGGTATATTTTGCATGGGAGGTGCCCTCATTTTCTGGAGGGCGCTGGACACGCCGTGAGTTCTAGCCTTCACAGTTAAAGCATTGACGAAGTAGGGACTAGATTTTTCCTGCTGTAATTCCCGAGCAGGGGAGGGGGAAGGCACACGGCACTGGCGACGGAAGCGGGGGAAGCATTGCCCCCCCTCCACTTTTTTGGCTAGGAGGCAAGGCCCCTCCACTTTTTGCAGGTCCTATGATGGGCTGGGGCTTTTAATGGATCAGCCTCCCCCCACTCACACACTTTGAAAATCGCTCCGCCGTTGTTGTCACACGGGCAACCGCAAAGTAACAGTTTATTATCTTTGGAAACTAAATGTCAGAAATTGAAACCAATGAACAACCATTACCTTCTGAAATAAGCACAAGTTAAAGAGTAAGAGAGGACTTTAAAAGAATTCAGAAATTCATGTGATAATTTAGGATTTGAATTCAGTGACCGCATGTATTCAAACACCATTATCATTACCGGAAGCTTCCGTTGGACTGAACAAAAATGAAGTGCGTTACGTAATTGAAACTTTCTCCGACAGGCATGAGATTTGAATAAAATCTTCTGTTTAGAAAAGGTAAAACCTCCTCAGCTTTTAATTGATACCACGAATAACAATTTCTGGCCATTTTGTCTGGGAGACAACAAAGATTCCTTCTGGATTGCCTTTTTTGGCGGGTCATCCTATAGACGGTGAGGATTCCCTCAATCAAATCATTTGAGCCCACCTGACGGGACTTCCGGAGAGCTACAACGCCAATTGGCCAGAAGAGGAAGATTGAGATGATGGCCAAGGTGCAGTGGTCATGGGGCACCTCAGTCGATCCAGTCGTGGGCCTCCATACCTGTAGCGACAGTGCGTGTGTTCAAGTTTGATGAATCAAGATGACCGTAGGATATTACTTAGGGTATACGTTACATGGACCCTGTATTTTTATACAAATACTCAATAATAGTAAACATGCATCTTATGCCCAATAACTTCTTATATGATAATTGTTATTAATCTAGGTAACTGTATTCTGCTCAAATAAATCTATCTGCCTGTCTGTCAGTAGGGCTGTCTGTCTGTCTGATGAAATCTTGTACACTTTAGTTCTTTAAATTCACGTGAACCTTATCAATTTGACTTCTCCATATTAAATGACACTATTGACACTCGTCTTGATTCCGGGCAAGCTTTTGCATAGCGACTGCCGTCTCTTGAATGACCTACCCTTCTCCGAGCAGTGTAGTGGTGCAAGGCGCCTCTTATGTAACTAAGCAAAAGTTTGCCTTGAATCAGGAGGTGTAGCAACAATGTCTTGAATATGGACAAGCCAAATTGTTATGCTCACGTGAAGAACTCAGTTTACAAGATTCTACTCAAATCTGAATCAACGTAAGAAAGGCTTACTGGCAAACCATGCACCCCTGCAGGCCCTTTGGTCTGCGTATAGAGGGAGTTCACATTAACGCCGTCTGCGCATATCTGCATCGAAACCGAGGCTCTCTTTGTTGAACTTTGTTGCGCGTGCCCGCTGAGTCCACACAGCACATGGAGTATCCGGTTCGTACGTGTGACGCCACTTCAGTTTAAACCACGCCCACTGCACAAGATACACGGCCATCTCAGGTACATTAGTTCGCGGTCAATTGTCNAACATAACTTTATGTATTTTGAGTCTTAACTCCTTACTTTCAATCGTCTGATCGTATTAAGAATTGAAGCTGACACATACAGCCTCGTTTTCAAACGCGGAAGTGCGCAGATCGACGCTAAAAGCGTCGTATTGTGATCCCTCTATTTCACAGCATTTTTTGTGTTTTTGCAGTGAGAGTTAATGTTTAGTGTTGGTCAGAGATGATCAATGCGTATCACTAGGATTCTGCTGCCATCCTGCGAAGCTTGGCCTCCTTGCTGACATTAATGTCATGTAAAATTATTTTTACAATGACAAATGTAAACCTCAGTGTCAATAACAGAGATTTTGTGTCACGGAACAACGTTACTTTGAAAGAAATGGTATACATGTAGATCCTTTTGTGCCTACCATTTTGTGTGGGCTGCCTCAGTGTGCAGAAATTTCATCTCTGCATAGATTTCCGTTGCATTTTTAATCAAAGCGCAGAGGGACATGCGTGTATTTCCATATGATAATCATTATGCAGTTATTATTCAAGAACCGAGTGAGATTTCCCAATTTTTTCGTGACTTGGTAGGCCAACTATTTTTTAAAAAGCTGGCCAGCCATGGTGTTGCCAGTCAGTGGTAGGCAAACACTTCATCTGAAATGGCTTTATAATTCGAGAGCTTTAATTCCAAGCGTAAAGATCACTGAGCATTGCCTGATGTACCATTAGATCTGCAGGGGCTGAAGGCGGGGGCGGGGCATATGGAGGTGGGGGGTCACTCGACGTCCGTGCTGAGTTGCCAAGCATCGATGCGTTGCCTCGCTCCAGTGGAAGGTCAGTGATCGGCGTTTCCACAGCAGACGGGGAAAGCTGGTATGCTGTGTCAGAGACATCGGTGTTTGGGGGCGGGGCATCGCTTGACGTCGGTGGGGAGTCACATGCCTGGCCAGTCGACTCCATTCCAGTCTCGTCATCGTTCTCGAACTGTACGTAACCTGTAAAATCGATAGGCGGAGTCAGTGAGTCAAGAGTCCCTGCAAGGGCAGTACAGGTGCCCTCCCCCGGTACGCCGTTGATTTTGTGTTATGGACGGCTCTTTCAACAACCAAAATAATAGGTCAACACAAAACAGATAACTTGACAAAAGCTCTCACCCCACCCCCTCCCCACCCCACCCCCAAATCCATTTTTTTTTTGGGTGGGGGCGGGCAGGGAGGGGCAAGAGTTGCGCTGGCATGTTCCTAACCATCCACCAGGTCTCTTATGTGTATTAATTGAAAACAAACGCAAACGCTGTCACTGGGCGCTCATACTCATGGAAAGTTGGCATTTCCTCCATCATTGGCTCGCCGTTTACACATTTTTTACGCAGTTTTTACATTTTCTGTGACACCTTTCTTCGGCCGTGAACAACCTTGGTCCTCTCTCTCACTTCATACGCCATAAAATTAACCTAATGATTCCTACCTGATGTCGCCATGTGTTCGATAATTCACAGCTTCGCCCACAGCAAAAAAAAAATGCTTCCTCCTTCGATACACGGCCCCAAATGTTGGCACTACAAACAGCGATCGCTCGTAGGGAGAAGCTTATTCATAAAATTGACCGACGATTGTTAGACCTTCATTCAGATCCACTGAACTCGCTGCCCCTGCGTGCATTTTAGAGCTGCTGAACACGAGAATTCACAAATCATTCACAAGTTCAGTATTTCATATGCGCGCGCAGTCTATATACAAGTAGCTAGCTCTTTCCGGTAAACTGTTACATTTCAAGTTGAACAAAATCTTTGATATGTCGCTGCAAAATGAAGTACAACATTTTAACAATTGCCAGTAAACACTTTGCAAGTAGTGGCGTCGTCAGGGAAGGGGGACATTAGAAAACAGAACACAACCACTGTACATGCAAAATGTATAAAGCGCTATCCGCCCCGAGCTGAAGTGCACCCTCAATCGGCGAAAGAAAGACATGTCGTTACAAGCGAGTTCTTGCACGCGACTACGTTACGCAAAGACCGTACGGTTGCACTACACTAAATACGCGACCATAGAAAACAGTACAAAATCGGACAGAAATAACGCCGCCTGTTGACTTTCGTGAGGAGGTTGACCTCCGTTTTTTTTTCACTGGAAATTCACGATTATGGCTAGAAGATCACTTTTCGGTTCAATTTCATGGGGGTTAGCCACGAAAATGTGGTTTTTTTTATTCGCCTTTTAACGAAGATACCTTCAAGATAACAGTAAAGCTAAGCGCTCATTTCTGAATGTAACCGCCTGCCTCTATCCAAAATAGGCCGGCAATTTGGGGCTTTTTGTGAAAGAAATACCCCAAACTGGAAACTATCAGTCCAAAATTTGGGATTTAAAGAGTCGAGCTTTTGTACTGTCCCTCCGTAATAAAAAGAGTTTCCGGAAAGATACTGCCATACACAACCTCTGTTACACGATATCTGCTCATTAACAGTGAACATCTTATGCCGTAGAAATTGTTAGAATGGAAAGTATGGTGATCAATGTAGAGAAAATCCTTTATGCTTTGGCCAACAGCGTATTTTACAGTCGGTTGTGGAGACCTTTTGAAAACTTTTCGAGGTGACGAGGCATGCCCAACGAGGGTCCGTTGTTGGATCGACACAAACCGATGGGCACAGTAATACTGAAAAGGTGCGCCTTATATTCTGGCAAGCCACCCTCGCATTAAATGGCTCTTTTTTCCGGTTTTTTTTTTCACTGTATCTTCATGTGGCTTTGCAATGGAATCAAAATAATGTCTCGTGCTGGTCAGATATGATAAACGTGCATCACTGAGATTCTGAAATGACGCTGCAATGCCTGTTGACACAAACGTTTTACAAAGAGGTGTGAAAACTGAAAAATATCAGAGATTCTGTGTAACTCAGCAACTTTGGAGAATGTGCATAGGTCCTTTTTGTTGCAAACATTGCCCGTCTTTTTTATGGGTTTGCAGAAATTTCATCTCTGTATGGAAGGCAGTAGCTTTTTTTAAATCAATGCGCTTGCTAGTCTCATTTAATCTAAAAGTGAACATTTATTTTTTATTTTATGAACAAGGGAAGCTATTTCAGAACTGACTGAGATTTCTTAACACTTTGTATTTTGTCACGTTTGAATGTTTTTCCAGTCAGTGGTAGGCAAACATGGGCTTTAAAGGCTGGGCTAGCAGTGTAATATCAGTGGACATAATCTTCACCACGATATTTGTAGGGAAGTTACTTGGCCGAATTTCTGAGTTGTACACCATAGGTACGTAGCCACACATCCTTACACAGTTATACTTGGGTATTTCCTTTGTTCTCAAATACAAAACTCCCACACAACACGCAAAAAATTTCAAATCACTCCAATTTAAACCAAATTCACTTTCCTGGGTTCAAATTTCGACCCTGTGTCCCTTATATAAAACACTACAATTTGTGACAGATTTTTACCCATCAAACATTTCCCCTTTTTGAGTTATTTCCAAATATTTCGTGAAATTCCTGTAAAAACTGGCCTTGTGGGGTACTTCCCATTGTTCCAGTACCCCACAAGGCCCCATGTATAAGCGCAAGTACACGTATGTCGATTATAGACATGTTGCCGAGATGCTAAAACCTGTGAGCCAACTGATCTTCTAGATGTGCGAGCCAATTACCCACGGAATCAATGTCAAGACAATATACCACTACGGGGAAGGGAAGGTATCATTATGCCTCCCTATGACTATTGCTATAATTGATTTAATACAATGCCTTGAAATTGAAAACAAAAACAAAGCAACGGATTTGTGGGAATTCCGATAAAAATTGGCCCTGCCATTTTATCGCATCACGAAATGCATCTAACTTAAAGCTTTAAACCGTTCAATTTTTGTTATTTGGGCAGCATTTGAAGGCGATCGATATAAGCGAGTGAAAAACCAATTTTCCCCAGTGTCCATTCCCCGATTTGATCTCTTGAAGCTGCACGTGACAAGTGGAAAATACACCCCAGCTTATGTCAGGACGACGGGGAGGCATCAAATCAATAAATGCAAAGAAAAACTGACGAACATGGGCAATTCACAATACGTGCCTCCAAAAGTTTGCAACCCGTTGCCCAATCACGACGCACGAAGTCCCTCGACCCTTTCCACTCGCGCATTGGGTCGAGAGATTTCACGCATTGTGATTGGCCTACGCGTTGCAAACTCTTTGAGGCGCACTATAGAGGGATCCCAATACGACGCGTTTATCGTCGATCTGCGCACTTCCGCGTTTGAAAACGAGGCTGTATGTGTCGGCTCCAATTCTTAATACGATCACACAATTGAAAGTAAAGAGTCAAGACACAAAAAAACATAAAGGTATGTTAGATTCAGACTTTTCAGGCTGCAAATTTTTGTGGAAGAGTCTTTCTAGGATTACTCGCCACGTAAAATCAAAAGAAAAAAATACCGCGAACTAAAGTACCTGTGATGATTATGTATCTGCATGTGCAGTGGGCGTGGTTTAAACTGAAGTGGCGGCACACTAGAGCTTACGAACCGAATAATGCATATACTCTGTCGACTCCACGGGCGCGCGCGACTAAGTTCAACACCGAGCCACGGTTTCGATATGCGCAGACGACGCTGGAGTGAAATCCCTCGATTGTGAATGGCCCGTATTGTTGCAGACCGTACCTGTATGTGTCGCGGCATCAGCGACGAATAGCTATTAATGCACGCTCTGTATTAGACAGAAATTATCGATAATTCTGCATATCAACGAAATCGGTGAGGAAAATGTTTGCCGGTTTCAGAACGTGTCTGCAACGGAAGGAATTCTTCCCAGTAGTCACGTGAGAGCGGCTCGCGATTAAATATTCCGCGGCACTGGAATCCGAAGCCGTGTGAACACGGCTGAGGCTGGAAATTACACGGGCTCTATGGGTAGTGGCTGCAACTTCCTATCATAAACTCGTGCAGTTTCAAGTCACAGCCGAGAAATTTGAACGCAGCCCTTTTAAATTCTCGTGAAAACAGGTTAGACGTCAGAACTTCACAAGGACATACCTCGATATCTCTCGCTTTATTTTTTTTACAGATTATGTTAACCACATGGAAAACAATTATCAGTAATGAAACCTGCATTTTTCTTCCGATGACATTATTTCAAGATGGTCTTAAACATGACAGTTGGTCGCAGAAAATGTAATGGATACCGTTTCATTTTGAAAACTTCTTGTGCTCACTTAAAATAGTCACACTACTGCGTGAGGAACAGACAATATATTTGTCCAAAAATCAGAGCAAATAAAAATACGCTTAAATTTCTACAAAAAAATCACAAATTCCAGCTGATGTACCTTACCCGTCGTATCGACAGTTTTAATTACATAAAAAATAATATCAAGATATTCAAATAATGAGTGCAAAAGTCTACTAAGCACTATAGCAGAATCACGCCATGGAATGAGGAACAATGTAAAGCATTTATACATTATATTTATTTCCCATTTTAAAGAAGACATGGTTTTTGTTGAGAGTTACACCTTTGAAATCAACTTGGATGAAAGATAACACGACACAGGTCACTTCGTGTTGAAAGCTGCAGTAAGTTCAGCTGCAATGGACTAGTTTCACGAGCCGGCCATGCTGAATTGGACCAAAAGGGTATAGCAGCAAGGAATTTGGCCAATGCACAATTTTTCGGTAACTCACCTTCAGTGTGTAAAACTTTCCACTGTAAAACATTCATCACAGGGAGCTCACGTTAAATGATTTGAAAATGTACTTTTGTCGTTCACATTTTTGCGTAATGCGTTCATTGACCACTCCAGGAAGACATATTTTGTGAGCCCCAAACTCGTTGACTAAATGCCTGAGAAAGGCCTTGCGCGCTAATCTTCCCTAAGAATCGACACAAACCCAATTCGTAGAGAAATGGAAATGAAGTTCTGCTACCAGGAAAATATTAACCAACACATAAACAGGGGAATAAAATTGGAAATTAGGTTAGCTAAGGCACGAAGGTGCATTTTGAAGATTTGTATTTAAAACACACGCATTGGGGAGACCATTTATAAAGGAAGGTTAACCTTCATAACTGGGAACAGGAGAGCATCGTTTACTCGTTCAAAACTATTTGGACTGGTGTTACAGAGCTACAGGGAGTTGATTGATGTCTCCCAGGGGTCGTGAATGCGGGCGTTTCACAATAGTGCGTCTCCAAGGTTTGCAACGCGTTGGCTAATCACAATGCGCGACATCTGTCCACCCTCCTTCCTCCACGGCCCACCCAATGTGCGTTTGGAAAGGGTCGACAGATTTCGTGCATTGTGATTGGCCAACGCGTTGCACAGTTGCAAACTCTTGGAGGTGAACTACTTTGAATCGCCTGTATATTACCTTCAAGTATATGTTCCCTTCCAAGAAGTCTTCAGCATGCATGCATGGGCGAATCCAAAACCAAAATCTCTTATGCCCTTTAGGAGGAGTGCGGCCAAACTGCAAAGGAATGAAATGAAAAAGCCCCCCCCCCCACTTAAAAACTGGCGGACTTTGGCCCTCCAGGTCCGCCCTGGCACCTATTGAAAAATCCACCCCCGCAGTCGTTCCTGTGGGCTTCCATTTAAACACTTTGCAAAGCAACGACCACACAGATGATGGTGACGATAATCGCCACCACAATGATGCCGATACCGAAGCCAAGGCCCAAGAAGGAGTAGGTCTTGGCCTCCCTGGAGGCCTGCTCAGCGCCAGCGATGTCACCCACCTGGAAACGGTTACGAACCTGTATAAAGAAAAAAAGACGACCATTTTAAATGAAAATTGGACATCTACATAGATGCAAGTGTTAAAGGAAAGGAATTATATTTCTGGTTTGGAGGATGATTGTATAGTTTAGAGGCATAATCCCTCTAGTGAGCTTACATCGTTCGCTTTGATCAATCCCACAATGCCGAGGGGCAGGCAGCAACAAATGGTCACAAACAGGGCAAGCCCGAAGTAGTCGTCAGGTTGGCAGACGGTAGTGGACATGATGGTTTGAGGTTGGGGCGCCACCTGGAGTCAGAAACAATTGAAACACATACAGCTCCAGTTATCTTAAAGGCTTCATGGGCGTAACTTTCAAACCGTATTCTAATTTGATACATAGGATGTCGGTCGGAAAAAAGGTAAATCTTTGGTAAAAAACAAACAAACAGCGGATTGCATGTAAGACTATAAGATGATGCGAAGTATTCAGTGTATGATGGATTTGTTCTTAATGAACTTTAATTTCAAAGCAAAACAGCACACCCACCCATCATTAGCCACTTCGATATACGAAATGAACAAAATTTGCAACCGGCATATATCACTAAATAACGTTTGCCGTACAAACCTACACCAGCCACAGTTTGGTGACAAAGGCCCTCACCTTCCATTGTTTTGCTAGTTGATACACTTTCTACGCACACATCTGTTTTGGAGGAGGACAATGTAAGAATAATAGGCATTTGCACCTGCCAAATTTGCTTCAGAAGAAGTATGTTTTTAAAACTTTTTTTGGGGGTCATGAATTGTTACAGAGATGATCAACGGAATGAATAAACTTTTATTTTCTTAGGTCGGAAGCACAGGCATAAATGACGGCCAGAATGAGAACCATGGAATTTACAAGGGGCGCCTTATTTGCCACCAAAACCTTTGCAAAATCAACCTATCGCAACGGACGGGCAATATACGGTAAGCCACTGGATATGATGAAGCCTGCCTTTCTTGTTTTATTGCCAGAGTCTTTTATTTTGTCATATCTGTCCGGAGTTTCATCTTGTTAGGTGCTGTCACGAAGTCATTTTCTTTTATGAGCTAAAACCATGCAGTTGCCCACAAAACACTATACATGTGCAAATCTATCGAGGTAATGACTTGATGCTTTGACTATTAATTTGAAATGTCACTGGTAAACGCCGGGACTAAAGTCTGTAAATTTCAGGTAAAGAAATGAACGTGGACGTTGTTGGTATTATGAGTAATGAGCACAACGAATCCAAACGAAAATTACACATCAAAATGTTTTATAATCGGAGGTAGTTAAGATTGAACAATAAAACGAGCTCTTCAATAACGCTTACGCCGCTATAACCTACCGAACACTATGCACTTGCCGTTTGTAATTCCCGAAAGTCAACATGATAAAACTGTCGGTGTTTTGTATGTTGGAAAGTGACATGTGGCCATTTTTCCCCCAAGGGTTAGATACATGTAAATGCAATCGCAATTTCGTTACGTCAGCCTCCAAACTGAATAAGCATGCATTTCTTGATTAACCCTAACCCCCTAAAATTATACTGAAATCGGAGGATTTGGGACTGTTAGGGCTAGCTAGAGGATAATTTTTACCGCAACTGTGGTCGTGGTTCCCATGGGCGGGCCGTAACCCTGTCCCATCGCAGGACTCAGAGCGCCCATGGACGGGTCATAGCCCTGTCCCATACTCGGAGCGCCCATGGGCGGACCATAGCCCGGCTGCCCCACTGCAGGATCCGTGGTGTCCATGACCATGGCCTGGCTGTACTGCGGTGGCGGCGCGGTGTCCGCAGCTTCCTCGTCCTGGAACTTGTTGTATCCTGAGCGAGGTCGATCATTGCAGGAAAGAAAAAGCAGATGAAAATTTCCCATCCTCAGCCTAATTTTTGGGCGTGAATTGGAGCCCCTTTTCCCAAAAAGCAAAATCCTGAAGCCCCACTCTCAAACAGAGTGAGTTTATTGTAAATTTACTTTTAAAGAGTTAAAACAACTCCAAAGGAGTGAAAAGCCCGCTTCAAAAGAGTCAAAATCACTCAACACAAGAACCGATTCAAAGGTCAATACATGGCTCCTCGGCAGAGTGGAAATTTCACACTTTAAAGGGTTTTTTACTCTCCAAGTGTGGTAGTCACTTTTTTTGAGTGGCCCTTGTGGGGTGAATCCTTCACTCTTTGGCAAAAAGACTCTTTGACAAAACAGAAATAAACCCAAAAATAGCACGGGACATGCTTGAAGTCGTTTCAGAAGAAAAGTAACATTTAATTTATACATGTACATATTACTGACAAAATTTTTGTCATAGAAATAAAACTTTCGGTGCATTTTTCTGAACTCTGGTCGCTGATGTTATCCGGTTCGTAAGTTACTTCGTCACAAAGACGGACGCACCACGATTTGCAGGCTCTCATTGGACAATCGCTGAAGTTGCGCGTTAACTTCCGGAAACGGCGATCAAATTAGGTTAGCTAAGTTAGAATGTCAGATTTAAAAAGATCAAGCAGTTGCATACAAACTCGCGCTTCCTTTTGCAGATATTTCTGAAACTAAAGCAAAAATGGTTATGAAACTTGCATAGATCGAAAGAGGAGCATGTGCCCTTTCAGATGACACCACAATTGTCAAGATCTGGACAATTTTCAGATCCTTCAAGCTCGAATAATACGGAGCCTTCTTTGCGCTGGGACAGAACTAGTGTAGTGGAGAGAATGTCAGATTTACTTTTAAAAAATCAAGCAGTTGCATACAAATTTGCGCTTTCTTTTGCGGATATAACATAGGCCTAAGTTGTGCATATATGACCTATAGCAGATGCAATACTTCCACTAAAATAAGTTCCCTTTTACGACAAAAGTGTCATGTGACGAGCTGTTGGCAGCCTATGTAAGAAGGTCAGTCAAGTGCAGAAACGAGAAAGGTCAGTCCATTCGCCTATTCAATAAACACGGACCGCCATTTTGAATATGGGCAGCGCAGCCAAAGTTTGCAGAAAAATTTACTCGGTTCAGTTTGTAACAGCTCTTGCTCTCAAAAATGTGCACATCATGTTTCTTCAGTGTTCTCGGTACGTGTATATGGGAGATATTTTAACGCATGGGTCTGCGCTAAATCTCTCTCGAGTTGTGTGGGGCCTATGTCAATTGAGCAAAACCTGTTTCAATTCGGACATTTCGAACCCGACTGACGGGGAAGATTAGATTCAGATCTGGAACGATTTGCTCGATGGATCATAAAATTAATGGATTAATGACTTTCTCAACACAAAAGGGAGTCATTTCCATTTAATAGATGTATTCCTTAGAAGTACTCATTCTCTGGTGCTTTTGCATGAGATTTTTCTAAAACTGTGGGTTACTTTTTTCTTTTGTAACTTTTGTTACCAGTGGCAAACACGGCGCTTGCGGTCGATCGAAACATTTTGTGTAGGGCATTTACATGTAGGCCTAGGCCTCTCGATGACTTTCCTGGAATATATTAAGGCCTAACACTCATTTATACGTGATCTCTCATACCTACCTGTCGACATGGTGGTTGTTGAAATTCTTTGCTAGTGACTGTTGAAACTCAAAGCGCCTCTCGTTCTGCCACGGTAACACTGGGTCTGTTATATCTGATTCTACATTGCAAGCTAAATACCTATGTACATGTACATGTACATGTACTGCGTATAAATTACAACAATACACTTGTCTGTGTGACGCACTGCAAATTATTGGCTCAAGGTCAAATTAATCTACGGAGCTACGAATGTGCCATCTTAGTTGTCAATGGCACTCGTAGCCTCGGTCTGGTTTGTTGTGACATCGAGTCGGTGTAAAATCGCCAGTAACATGTGCCATTTGAAAATTTTAACTAGAACTATTGTCCATGTCGTACTTAAATACAACGAAATCGAGAAAGTGAACTCTTGAAGTTAGATTTTGGTGATGAAGTCGCTTAAATAAAGTAAGTTCGCCCTCTTTTAGGTCGCGCGAGGTGCTATTTATCGTAGGCCCTACAGAAAGCCTACCTGTATACATAATGTAGAACAAAAATTAAAACAATAGAATACAATGAGAAAACGTATTCTTCCGGTTTGGAATACTTTCGAAATGGGTCGGAATATTCCGAGCCCATTTCATCGATTTCTTGTAAAAGTGACTCTCGCGAACAGTTTTCGGGATTGATCAAAATTGCTTCTCTGTGCAGATCTCTCGAATCACTCATCAAAGCGTCAGGGGAAAAGATCTTAATCTGTCTTCTTGCCATATTTTAATTTTCAGTTTCGATATCTATGCACTTTTGAAGATTTGTTTAGACAAACTATTTTGTGACGGAAGTGTATGTGCATGTGTGCGCTGCAAGTGGAAATGGATGACGACCTTATCGTGATTTCACGCGTTATTTTAAGACGTGTTAAAATCAAGACTGATTGTCGCACGTTTTTGATAAAGGAAGCATTTGGGAATGTTGCGGTAGAGATGTGAAATATTTAGGTTACAAAAAATCCACCATGGCCGAGCCCAGAGTGTGACGACTTCTCGGGGTCATGTAAGTTCACCCCTTCCACTTAGTTTGTGCGCATGCGCTAAAAGTCGGCAAAGTCGTGGTCACTTTTTGTTGCTTATTGTTAAAATGGCGACGCCAGCCATGCAACAAACGACTATGCCAAAATCCATCTGCGGAGATCGTCCGCATCGTGGAAATGTTTGCTGAATTTTTACCAGAGAAATAAAATCAGGCTTCAGATTTCATTTTGTGATGTGTATCTTGTTAATCAGAAATGACATTTAGGAGAAAACGGGGTAAAAGAACGTTGTACGTCAGTTACATTTTCGAACGTAAAAAAAGGTATTTTAAAATCGACATTTCACCATAGTGCACCTCCACGTCGTATTTGCAACGCGTTGGCCAATCACAACACACGAAACCTGTAGACCCTTTCCAAACGCGCGTTGGGTCGACAGATTCCGCCCATTGTGATTGGCCAACGCGTTGCAAACTCTTGGAGACGCGCTCTTGTGAATCGCCCGTATAAGTTGTTCTCAGTTTATTTACTCCACACACGCATGCTGCATGTCTTGGTGATGGAAAGGGTGTTCGAAAAAAGATACAACAGTTATGTTTACGCTATTGCGAATTGTCCTTCGTTATGGTTTTATCAATTTCAACTTGGCTTTCAGTCCATTATCGTTATTCTTATATTTAACGATGGTAACCTGTTCACTATACAGTGGTCTTCCGCAGGGCCCGGCTACAAGGTATAAGAAACACAATTAAAACTAAAGTACATCTACATACAGTAAAAGTAAGAACAAGTAAGACGATCATAAAACAAATACTATTTACCAAGAATTAGGAACGAAAAAATTTAAATAGGTAGTCACTCATAATTACAAAAGACTATAATCATAAATGTGGAAAGCACACGACAATAGAGTAAGACGCAAAATTAAAAATATATAAAGACAAAAATGTGATATAGTACAACAAAAAATACTTAGTATTAACCCAAATATAAGGGAAATCAAATTAAATTTAAAATAATAAAATAATATTTAAGCAAAATTTCAACTGCGCACAGTTTAATAGGTTTGTTTTAAAAGATCACTCAGCATCGATTTCTTAAATACACCAAGAGATGGAGACGATCTTACGTCAAAATTTATAGTGTTCCATGCCAACAAACCTTGAACAACCGGACTATGCTGATAACAGCTTGATTTGAAATCAGGGATCACTAGTAGATCGGCCGCTGATTGTCTCGTTCCATGGCCGTGGATATCAGAGACTTTTTACAATGTTTTCTGATATAGGTAACTTGAAACAAGATTATTAACACACTTATACATGAAAACGGCTTGAAGATAAAGGAATCGTTTCTGCGAAGGGAGCCATCGCAGCTCATCAAATAGTTCGGTTCCCGATGAGTCAAGCCCTCTGCTCAAAATTATTCTTGCGGCATACTCCTGCAATTTGAAAAGTTTATCAGTGCGCTTGTGGAAACGGCCAGACTAGATTTGACAACAGTAATCAACATGACTCGGAGGTAAAATAAGTGTGTTATAGAGAAGTCTGGGAGATTGAATTGTTAGGTATGGTTTGACACATCAAAACATGCCAAGCTTTGCCTGAACTGTACTCACAAGTTTATCAGCATATTCAGAGCAGTTCAGTTGCTCGTCAATAATAACACCAAGAGATTTTGCTTTGCTGACCCGGTTCAGTGTGTGATTATTAACCTCTACCTTTAAGGAAGATACCGTGCCTAATTTGTGTTTGGATCCGACAACCATAACATTTGACTTTTCGTAATTTTAAACAAGACGATGCTTTATCAACCAATTATAAATCTCCCTCATGGCTACACACAGTTTCTGTTCTATTTCAGAAGCAGTTTTACCTCTTACAGCGAGAGTGGTGTCATCTGCATACATGTCTATGGTACCTTCGCTGATTGCGGTAAGCAATGTATTAATATTATAAGCAAACAATAGAGGACCAAGAATTGATCCTGGAGGCACTCTGTTCCTCGGCATCACCTGTACAGGCCATGTGGCACTTTATTTTGCACAAAGTATGAGTCAGCGTGCAATACTACAACCAGAAGGTGGGACTGGGATGAAGTCTACAATCGTACAGCGCCCTCGCGAGACACGACATCTTAGCATACGTGGATGTTCGTACGTACACGTACATGTACATTGTACATGTACGTGTACATATACATGTACATGTCATTGTACATACGTATAGTAGAGACTTCAGCATAGTATGGCATACGATCTTTGACTGCGACTTGGATTAGGAATCGGACCGATTCCAGCGCAACGCGAAAAGGCAGTAAGTTTTCCGGAAGCTGGTTCATGCATATTTTTTAGCCATGAATCTGTAATGTTATGTTAACTGGTCAAGTATTCAAATTGAGTATTTGAAGAATTAATGTCTGATTTGTAGCGCTAAGCTTCTTTTAGGAATAGGATTTTTGGGAAACATCCTCACGGCATCAGGCAAGGTTCGTGCTTGAATCAACTTTCTACCTATGATCATGTCCACTGCATTGGTTGGCCATTGCCATATGGCGGCTATTGCACCTGGACGAGAATTTCAAATACAGAGGCCACCATTTTTACCCTGCAGCAAACTTTCCTGAAAGTAATAATTTGTGTTCCAATAAGTCAACTTGGGAAACCACTTGCTTTGGCCCAGAATTTTTCAGACATGTCGGATCAGTGTCCTACCTGCACAGGGTTTGAAGCAGCATTTGTATGGAATTCTTTATTTAATGTTTTGTTTTGTACTAAGTTTCATCTTTTTTTAGCATTGTAATTGTTGCACAGCAGGATATCTCTTACAAAACAGCTCTCAGCATGGCCAGTGACGTTGACTTTCATTTCCTCCGTCTTATTTGTGACCCACTCTACAAAAATGAGTCTTAAGTCACCAGAGCTACGTTGGAGTAAAAAGTGTTTTAGAATAATTTTGCAAAGTGTAAATCAATAGGAACGCACAGCATTTGTCACCATGGGGTATCCACTTTCATCAGGATGCCAAACTGAGTGATACATCAAAACCAAAAACTCAATTTGCTCTTTCTAGTACAAATGAAAACTCAAAAAATGGCTCTGGTGACTTAAGACTCATTTTCACATAGTGGGTCACATTTTTGTTAGCATGTTAGGCTTTATATTTTGACCTGTCTGATTTCATCAAATCCAACATTTTTCGCTCACAGTCTCCCCAAAGCCCTTCCCCATAGACGATTTGCAGATTCTCGGCCGTGTGCCACGTTGTAAAGTGACAACTACCACTGACGGTTGATTACTCTCAGTAAAGCTCAGCATACAAATCCAGCAGCATTTCTCCGGGATCCGGCAGATATCTTACAACAACTGGCTCAAGCACTGTCCTTGGGTCGCTAGAAGAGTCCAGAGAAATCATCCAATCAGGATGAGGCGAGCAGGCTGTAAGTAGTCGACGGATGCATCTTGCATAGTCGTGACTCCGGCACCACTGTGACAGATTACTTGGAAAGTGGAGTGCGTGCACGTGGGTTATTCTATAAATTGGGGTTCGAATTTGTTTGTTCGAGTTTCTGTCACATCTGACATGATTTTCTAAGTTAAAACACATTTTTTTTTATTATCAAGAGCGATTAAGAAATTGCCTGTCGTAAGAAATAGCTCAAAGTGAATTTCATTGATATTTCCATATTTCCAAATTACACGAGTCAAGTGTAGCAGGGATGGAAACATGTCACACTTCTTGACCCTGATTTTTATAGACTGACTCACAGACATCTGTTTTTTTTGAGGTGACTGTTTAAAAACGAGAGAGATCAAGCCTGTGAGTTGAGAGTGAGCGATGATACTTCACTCATCTGTGTTTCTTTTCCCTACTTCAGTTTTTGGTTGATCCAGGACAAGTTGACTGCTTCAGCTCAGTATGCAAAGGTCAAAGTGCATTTATTTGTCTTCTTTCCAGTGGAATCTGGTGGAAGTCGCACCTACGCAGACTACAATGCAGTAGAGGATGAAAATGAACGGCTCGTTGACAGTCTACACGATAAAGTCTCCACGCTCAAATCAGTAGGTTCATACATCGGCTCACTAAAAGGGGGCTCGATGTAAACTTAGGTTTCCCAAAATTTGGGAAGAAAGCAATGAATTCCTTCGCTGGCACCGTCGTTGAGACCAGTCGAAAGACAAGACACGAGACGGGACATCAGAGTGGACGTAAGACCAGACACTGGACCAGTGGCAAGACCAGTTACAAGACCCGTCTCACATGAAGGAGGCGTGGGCACTTACAATGCAACAAGAGTACTTCTGTTGCACTTCACCTGAGTAGCTTTTGCCTGGCTTTCAGACGGAAGGTCGTTTCTTGGCCTGGTGATGGACTTTTGGGATCTTTCAATGATCTCATTAAAAGGGTCTTGATAGCAACGTCGTCCATCTCAAATCTTACCAAAAGTGACCTCTGGTTCCAATCATTTGTCGTCTTTTTTGATTACTCTATGCAGCTGTCCATCGACATCGGAACAGAGGTTCGAGAACAGAACAGTTTTCTTAAGCAGCTGGTAAGTTCAGGTCCACCAAACCTGCTCCTTGAAATGAAAAATGGTTCACACTCACACACATATTTGTGCAAAACTCTGGACCGTAGGAAATGGCAGTGGTCTCGTTTCTGGTTTACATTATATTTTGGCACATTCACTTTTCAATACAGAAAGGGTCCTACACTCTCTCTGACAAGAGAGGGCGCTGTTGCTGTGATGTCAGTTTGGGCATGCACTGTACAGCTGAGCTTGAGGACTCGCCCCCTCCCTTCACGAAACTTAGAATGAAAGTCATCGAAATCATTTCATGCTCATTTCTGCTGATGGACGCTAGTCATGCACCAGCAGCGAAACAAGCATGTAAGAGGAAAATTGTGCACAGCAAACTTCCTGCGTTCTAGCAACGTTTTACTGCAGGGGCAGCTGTATAGGGCTGTGCCGAGTATCCAAAAGGCCGAATATTCGATTCGATTGTCGAATATTTGAATATCATTTTTCGAATTTGAATATTTGAATGCAAATTCATGAAAAGGAGGGGACAATTTCCTTTTGTTTTAAATGAGAAGAATTGCAGATTCAAATGAAAAGCGTCAGAAACCTTACAACGATTTAAAAGGTAAATTATTCATTAAACAATTTAAAGGAGTAGAAATTTTAAATGGGGCAAGAAGTCTTGCTCATCTCTTCAATCTTGCTAAATTGTGGCTGGAGATACTCCTTGATCAAAGAAGCTATGATATTGATCATAATGTACAACTATGTGTTATTGCAACTGATTTTGTATATGGTTTGTTCATCAACAATCTGCCACTCAGTGCGACCGAATATTTGGATATTCAATCAAATTGAAGGCCGAATATTCAAATAGTGAATTATTCAAATTGACTCAGCCCTAAAGCTGCAGTAGTGAAGTGTCTGCCTTGGAGGACATCACTTTTGTGCTCATGAAAATGAAAATTTTGCTGAGCAGTGTATCCATAAGAGGCCCCGGAAACACCCTGAAAATTGGTTCATTCTTGGCACGCAAGTGGACACGAATTCTAAGTTGCGACATCAGATGAAATATTTGCTCAGTAAAATTACACAAGTGAAACACATGTCCACCCAAGTGAAGTTTTGTGTCATCAAATTCGCTTCACTTGCACCCGATCCGACTACCCACCGCTGCTTATAAGTGATTCCTGTGCGGCAAAATAGCCTGCAAGAACTGCGATGCTAATATATTATCGTATGATGCAATACAGTAGGCAAACTTATTAGTGGGGCTCGTTCGAGCCTTCTGCTTGCAAATATTCTTGACTCTGACTAGCCTCACTTGTAAGTGTGCTACTGAAATGTATCATACGATAATATGTTAGCATCACAGTTCTTGCAGGCTATTTTGCCGCACAGGTCTCACTTATAAGCAGCGGTGGGTAGTCGGACCGGATGTCACTTTCAGTATGAACCAGCCTTTAGCCCTGCTAGTGTTCGAAAAGTCCCCATCAATAATTTCCTTCACTTTGTGGTTTACGCTACCTACTGTGGGCTTCACAATATTACTTTGATTTGATTCCTCTTCGGCTGAACTTACTGTGTTGTCTGGTATATTTGTCTTTATAAAAAATCAGCGGACGCAAATTGAAAGTAGCCAAATTAGCGATGTCAGTTGACTGACCTCATTTGCAGGATGACACCTTTGATTCCTCCGGAGGCTTGTTGTCCTCCACCATGGGCCGTCTGAGCAAGATGGCCAGGGCGGGCCACAACTGCTACCTGTGCTACCTGCTCCTCTTCTCCTTCTTCGTCTTCTTTGTCATCTACTTCATCATCCGGCTCAGATGACGACGACAGACGGTGGCGCCGTTACCGAAATGTGGGAGAATAATGACATCTTGCCCGTCACTGCGATAATTGTGGACAATCAGTGCAGCAGTGGCTCCTTGATTGGGCATTGAGATGGGAGCCCTTACAGAGGCATCCTGAGCGCCCTCTGTTGATTTGAAATGAGAACTTGGCTGGCAAGATGACTATTGAGGACATGACCTTTAAGGGGAGTCTAGAATTTTTTTTTAAAAGTAAATTTTTATCGTGGATGACTTGATACAGTTTTGCGCTACTTTATGAAAAACAGGGATGGATAAATAATAAATATTACGTATGCTGGACAACTCTGGCCGGTGGAATGAGAAGCCGTCACTGCAGTGGTGCCGCAGGTCATGCTCGTGCAAAAATGCCCCCTCGACCAGTTGGGTTCAATTTCTAGCTAGCACGCGCATGTCAGGCTGAGGAGCCCAGGGGCCTGTTTGATTTACGCGGATCCGGATCCATATCGTGACCAGTGACCTGATTTTGGTTCACTGACATCCGGACCCACCGGACAGATGGAGCGAACCAACATTGGGACCACCGATAGATATCCAGATCCGAGTGAAACAAACAGGTCCCACGGGGTTTAGTGTGTCACTCTCCAGCCTCCGTACTTTCGGCATCTCCTCCGATCAGCGTGTACCTGTATATACATGCGGAAATACTTGCACATGCAGCGGGTCATTAGCCTTACCTGAACATGGGTTTATCGGACAGGCCCCTGCCGATCAGCTTTCCCTCTGCAGCCTGAATTCTGTCGTGCCACATTGGAACAGGTTTCATGTTACTCATTTCATTTCATACTGCACTCCCACCCAGAATTTGCACACTAAGGCACAGGGCTCAGGGATCTGATCACGGCACCACACTACGTTTCGATCATTATTAGTAATGTTACACATTGAAACACCATTCTTACGAGAAATCTAGATCAAGTTGATTTTTAAAAAAAAGTGACAGCAGTTGTATATATGAACAGATGTAATATGTGAAAAACTACAATATTTTGAATGTACTGTTCATTTGTGTATACGTCTGTATTGTCATGATATATGTTTCTGGGGCCAATTTCACTGAGCTGCTTAAGCGTGAAAAAAACCTTGCTTTAAAAAATAAAGGTTACCAGTTCAAACTCTATGTGATTGTCATGCTAACCAAAAAAACCCTGCAAAATACGATACCAAAACAATCTACATCACATGGAGTTTTGGCTGGTTACCAGATTTAGCAAGCAAGGTTTTCTCCCACTTAAGCAAATTTTGTGCTTAAGCAGCTGTATGAAATTGGCCCCTGACTGTTGGCATTTCCAAAAAGGTCATAGGGTAAATGTTTATTGTATCGTGCTCTTCGGGATTTTGTGATCTTGCGATCTTGTTTATCTTTCTCTTTCTTTTCTGTATTAAAAGATAATTATCCCCAATGCCTTATTGTTTGGAAGAGAAATAATTAGGTACTTGTTGGTTCTTTGATCATTGGCTGTTGAGAGCTAGCATGTCCGCACCGATGGCCAGGAGGTTGTGGGTTCGAGTCCAATTGTAGCAAGCGTGTTAGTTTTTTTGGTTTTTTCCCCTCAAACTTGAGGAAAGCTGCACAAACAGTGATGAAGTGCATCTTAAGTCATTTGGCACCAGTACTAACACTTGTGCTTGGGCATTGCCAGGATTTTTTTGTGAGGGAAGGGACAACCACTTTTTTCTGGGGGAAATTTGCAAGGGAGGGCGAGTCCTTCATCAGCTAAAAACTGATGAACAGTGAACAATGGGAGGAGGGTCGATTGGGATTGTTTTTGCCGAGCGAATTGGGGTTTTTCATCCTCTTTCATCTCTTTTCCCACCCAGTTATTTCCCCCATATTTATTGCAGTCGAAATTGGGATTAAATTTAGAATTAAAACAAGACTACTTTCGTGTTTTTGTTTTTTATTTTTGATTTTAAAAACATGAAATGATTTTTGTCTCTTCTTGGCTTTTTCTTCTCATTTGAAAACGAAAAGGAAGGTTTTTTGTTTTGTAAGTTGCGTTTTCAAATCGAATAATGAATCAACGAAACGTACACAGACGCCACACGCGTGTCACGGATGCGACTCAGTAAAGCTGAGTCTTGTAATGTGGTCGGCTCAAGAGGGCGGTATTTTTTAGCACGTGTTGAACACAACTCGATGCGTATGTCATGTACGTGCGCATAAGTGTTGGATTTTTGGAGGCCCGCGGTAGAAACGTGTTAACAAAATGCCGAAACCAAACTCCAGGATGAGTTTGGCGGAGCAAATTGCTGCTCTGAACGATCCTGCTCCAAGTTTTGACCCAGAAGACGCTTCTGATACAGGTATGTTCGTAATAAAGTGATGTCAATCCGTTCGATACAATGATCATGCCATGGAGGTGATCATGCCTGACAATGATTTCCCTCAACCACCAACATGTGTACCCCCAGAACTGTGGGGTCCGACGTCCGCTCCTCTCCCTGGGAGAGGAGGTAGTGGATGTCGGACCCCACAGTTCTGGGGGTACGACATGGGTAAACTTGATAAAGGCACTCTTTAACTGTGGGCCAACGAGATAAGGACTTGAGAGAGTTGTATACCGCAGCATGCAGCACAGAACATGTAAAACCACGGAGGAATTCCTCCATGGTAAAACTAAGCTAACTGGAGTCTTAAGCCTTAGCACCAGCTGGTTACCTGACCATATCTGAAAAGGTTATCTGTCGCCACCACATGCGACAGATAAGGGACAGCTGTAAAAGATGGGCAACTACAGCCCTACATGTAGGGTTAGCTAGGTTTGTACATACTTTAACTCTCAAGCATCTTGCATGCCTGACTGCGCTTGCTGTAGTCCTTGAAGCTACAAGTTTTCCCCACTCTTTCTTTCCTAATATTTTCAGAGACCAAAGCTAAACTTGCCGAATTTGAAGACGAATTTGAAGATGCCTCTGATGTCCCCTCAAGCAAACTCCGCAGGAGAAACGCAGGGATCTTAGCTGATGACGACAAGCGTTACGCCGGACGGACCACATCCAGGAGGGACTTGGACTCATGGGACGGTTAGAAAAAACTTGTAACAGAGCTTTAACCCTGTAAAATCTGCCCAAACCAAGTAAATGGATTTTGTTTGAAGGAACCAGGACTTACATGTATTTGTACATACATGTCCTTCTAGAGCATTTTGATTGGAGAGCCTTGCATGGCTCAACCTCACTGAAGGCAGGTTTTGTCCCTCTGTGCAGTAGTACTCAAGTCTGGCACTCGGACTGGAGTCTGTCTCGAGTCACACTTTTGGTAACACTGACTTGACTCGAGTCACATCGGACCCTAGACCCGTAAACAGGGCCCGACGAATACTCCTCCATCGCATACTGGGCAATGTTCCGATTCGTAGGAATTTCTTTCGAAAAATTTTCTCCGGGATATACGGGGGGCATCCGCTTGATTTTATGAGCTGATATTGCACCGGTATGTTCACTACTTACGGGCTAAACTATCCGCTAGGTTGCTAACTGCATAAAACTCGCCTTTTCCTCATTTGGCCCTGTTTACGGGTCTAATCGGACCCCGCCAATGATGTTGGGATATTTTTCCAAATTGCGATGGATTTCCTCCCTTGGATCTCATTCAGTGTGAAAGAGTCCGTTTCGTTTTACAAAATAAACCTGTTCTGCTTTTAATGCTCCATTCTGTCTGCAGATGGTGTCATAGGGAGCTCCAAACAGGGGGACGATGCCCTCAGCAGCGATGACGATGCCAGCATTAGCGATGATGGGAGCATCAGCGATGATGACCGGATGCAGCAATGTTCAGATGAAGACTCATCCGCTGAAGAACAGTCGGACTCCGATGGTGAAAGGCGTGCCACCCGAAATCTTGAAGATGCGTTCATGAGGATCAGAGCGGAGTTAGATGAGGAATCCTCGGGAGATGATGAAATTGGCGCCGCAGAAGATGACGATGATTTTGATGATCACGGAGAAGATAGCGATGACAATGATCATGACGATGATAGTGATGATGATGATGATGATGATGATGAAGATGGGGATTACCATAGCAACCAGGAGGCAACAAGTGGAGTGCAAGCTTTCTCAGAAGTGAGCATTGAGGAAGAGGTTGCCAAGGGTAAAGCCACCAAGGCACAGCTGAGTGAGTTGATGGGTCCTCTTTGTTTTGTTTCACTGTCAGCTAACACTTTGATTTTCACAGTCACATGTAATGGTGTTGAGAAATCCAGTCACTTGCAAAAGTTTAGGACCACCCATACAAAAATGCATTAAACCAATCAATCAACAAGCAACTTATGCTTATTTTCAATGTGTAACCTTAGTATCTTGGTTCAGCTATTTGACGACATCTTCATGATTTGATATGTTAACAGTCTAATATTTAATGTGCCCTCCTTTATTTCTGATCGCTTAGACTGGCTTCATGCTGCCTTAAAGACAACATAAAAGACCTGCCTTTGCAAAAGAATTCATTCAAGTGGGTATATAGCACTGGACTGATGTTATGCACCACTGTAAAAACATGTTGAATAATTATTCAATGCCGCCCCCAGTGACAGAAATACCAATAAAATTCCAGGTGGTCCAACTTTTGCAAATGACTGTAAAGCAGTAATTGAATATACACTGTACATGTATTTTACTCGATTTAAAAACAGTGTCGTAGTGGAGTTCTTTCAAATACCAAAGTTCTCTGCAAATATTGAACTGATTATGAGGGAAGAAAGCTGGGGGGAAATTTGAGGGTAAATTGCACAAAGGTGAGATTACGGACTAAATGTAGGGCTTCAGACGCTCCCAGTTTTGTAAAATTCAAGTTTTAAGGAGAGATGTACACAGAAAGGCCTCAACTGAGTACTTTACAAGTACTTTTAACCTGAAAAGTTCATTTGCATGAAACAGTGATGGTCTGAAGTCATCATTTTGCTTTGTAATCTTACCTCTCTGCATGTACCACCAAATGCCCACACTGTACATGCTTCAGCTCTGTTCCCTCCTAACCAGTTAAATATTTGGCAGAGAACTTGGTAACGGGTCATTTCCTGAGGTTGGGGCACAATTTGTGACGGTGTCCTTGTTACATGGGTAACTTTTTACCACCTGTCATGACCTGTAGAGTGGGTCATTTACTCTGTAAAAATAACACACACCTCTGTATTCAGCCTTGTAACATGTATAACAATGCCAGTTTGAAATCCACATGCAGGGAAATAACTGTTCATTTTTACGGACACCGTCACAAATTGTGCCCCAACGTCATGGAATGACCCTACTGGAAAGCACTCGACTACAACGCTGTTTGAACTATCACTGTGCCTAGCTGTGTTTGAGATTTGCAGACGCAGGAAGTGCGACGTAGAGCAAAATGATGAGATCTGGATAAAATTGGCTGTTTATGACGATGTATTCCGTTTGGACACATTTGCACAGCCTTATGGGATGCCTTCATTGAGAGTCGGATCAAGATTCAGAAGGCCCTAGCGATAGCCAACCAGCTTCCGGCTTACGACAAGCAAGCGGCCTTCGTCCAGAGGGGCGGCCAGGCGGTGCAGGAAATGTTGCATTCGAGTAAGCCTGTGACCTTTTGATCCAACTGATCTGACCTCTCAGCATCTTGAGTCTGACCTGACTGCCTGACTACATGATGAGTTCTCATCAGGCGTAAAGATGAATGAACACAGATATTTGGTGGTTCAGGATACACTGTGACCTTCAATCCTGGACTTCTTTGATACCTTGAGACTGGATAGATCACACTCAACCTCGTTCCCGTGGGTGCGATCTCGCCACGCCATGTTGATCCCCACCATGCGTTGCGCGCTCTAACCCCTGGTGTTGTAAAATTGAAACATCCCTCTGTTTGGGATAGGGAGTTCATCTGCAATGCAGATTTATGCGTGCGTGACGTGCAGGAGAATACGTGGGTGGGAGCGTGCAACTTTAGAAATGCGCGCGTGATCGACTTCAGGTTTACATGTATCCTCCCTGAATAGCCAGTCAGCATCATTTTCGTATTCTACGTGACCAGGGGCTAGTGAAAGAACGCGCATACAGCCCATGGAGTCGAGGTTAGATCACACTCTGTATTCAGAAGGGTCTGACTTAGGCCATAGACATTCTTAGCCAAATGGCATTATGTGTGTAGACGGAAACTTTGCAATAAGCCTTTTGCGAGTTAAATTTGAATAAAATCTGGTACACTGCGTTATTTTAATTCACATGAACATAGCAATTTGAATTCTCCATACTAAATGCACTGTTGCTATATCTCGTGATTCAGGGTAAGCTTTTGCTTAGTTACATAAGAGACGCCTTGCACCAATACACTGTTCTCAATGGATAAGAAGGGCACAAAGGAACCAGTCCATTCCAGAGATGGTGGTTGCTATGCAAAAGCTTGCCCCGAATCAGGTATGGTATGGCAACAGTGCCTTTAGTCTGGGGAATTCAAATTGTTACGTTTCTGTGCAGTCAGATAACCCAGTGTACCAGATCTTATTCCAATTTAACTCGCAAATGGCTTGTTAGGCCGTGTCCGAAACAGGCTTCCAGAGCTACGGCTAGGTCTATTGTCTGCGTACTTTCAATGGAGTGAAGACCAAGACCTAGCTCTAGACAAGAGATTCGGATGCAGCCTTAGTTTCGTTCTTCGTTATTGCATGACTTTGTGAAAGAGATCAATTCTTAAACCCTTATTCTTTTCAAGCTGCTGTATAACCGACTCAACTTTTCCATTCCTTATCCACGCAGGCAGCAGACAGCTGAAGGCGCTTTTGAAAAAGCTGATCGATCTGCAGCAGGCTCTGTTGCTTGGCAACCAGGCAACCCGCCACATCGTTGTGGGCAAAGAGGCGGTTGACCAAAAGAGGTGAGCGTCCGAGATTGGGCTGAGTCAGATAAAAATATTGATTATTCAAAAAAGTCAACCTGAAATTTGATTGACTATATGAATATTCAGTTGTTCAGTGAATTTTCAGTCAGCCAAGCTCCAGAGCATTTTTTTTTCGATATGTGTGCTGATACATTATAGCCATTGCAGGATTAGTCGGTATTTGGGGGATGAGGGCAATCTGGTTACAACGAAACTGCATTTTGCCCTATTTTTGCCCCATTTTGTATCGAACCTACAAATATTTGTTTTAAAAAAGATTCTAGATATTCAATCAGTGATTTGGCTTAACTGGTTTTCCTCCGTCACCAAATAGGGGTTGCACTTATCTCTGCGTTTTTTCTCTTTGTTTCAGTGATGAGGAGGTGACAAGCTCGGATGACGCCGATGGTGAAGACGACTCATCCCCTCCTGAGCGTTCCCGCCAAAGGCCAGCCGTGGGACAGCGCAAGAGGAAGCCGGACACGGGTGACCTGGGGGAATTCCTCGCCAAGAGACACAAGGACTTCCAATCGTTCCAGTTTGACACGATCCAGAAATGGCACGAGAAGACCAGACTGGCCAGCGGCAAGCACAGCTCCAAGGTGAATGGTTCCAACCCAACCCCCCCTGCCTCTACCCTCCCATTCATTAACCATGTGCTGCCGGGGAGCCTGGTTTCGGGTACCTTGGATTTGTACGCGTAGCCAGGGTGCCCGAAATGGGACAAAAGAGCTAGACCTTGTAACAAAAGACCATACTCGGAACAAAAGACCGAGCTGCTGGGAATTGCCAACATTTTTTCAGTTGTCAATTGTAGAGGAAATCCGACATTGTTTTGAGAGATTATACCACTGTTTGTGGCATTCAGCTCGAGCGGATTACCACCGGGGACAAAAGCGCTTCAGTGATGAACGATACAATACCGCTGCACGCTAATCTGGCCCCTATTGAAAAGACGCCAGTAGCGCACTGTGCCAGTTTTAGGAACAAATGAAAGTTACATAACACTACACAATATGGGCTCTTTTTAAAGGCCTGGCTGAAATCCCGGGCGTCAGTAGATGATGTCTGTCAGATTAGAGTAGAAACCAGACAGTCATTTGTGTGGGTGTAAATGTCCAGTAAATGAAGCTATGATTTTTTTGAAGAATTTTAAAAATGGAAAATCTTGAGAATAACCCGGGTTTACGTCATGCAACTTCAAATTCCACCCGGCAGCAAGTGGTTAAGCACATATTAACCCTAACCCTCCAGGGTAGTTTGGCTAGATGTCCTGCCAGACACACCAGTCTGCATCGTGTGACAAAGTGGCTGGCCTGCCCAGTGCAGCACGAATTTACGAAACACTGTAAACAAAGAAATGAAATTGTGAAAATTGACAGCTCACATCATCTCTTCCCTACAGTCCTTTGCCTCGTTTGAGAAATCGGCCGTTTCACAAATAGAGCAGGTGCTGCAGGACAAGCCAAGACTCATCAGACGGACCCAACTGCGCCGAACAGTGTACACGCGACTGGGAGAGCCAGAGGGAGCAGACGACGGCACACAGTCAAAAGAAGACTCACAGGTGAAGTCCTCGTTACTGGAATGACACTTTCTCCGGCCAGCAGCTCACAATGTGATCCCTTTCCAAAAAATCAATTTCGGGATGTAGCCAAACAAGAGATGAACAAGTTTGATGTATATTTCAAGAGTCTAAAGGGTGAAAGGTGAAGTGTACTGCATTGCTTTGAGATTAACTCATGGTGTTTGGGGATAAATTCATTTCAGGATGTGACTGCAGCCGGCAACTCTCATCTGAAAGAGTATGATGAAGAAACCTTTGACGACGACGACTTCTACCATCAGGTTTGTTGAAGTAGCTTGAGACTACAAGTTGAAAGTTTTGATTTAAAACAAAAGTTGGAAAGTTTTCTGACAAATGCCGACAGAAATTACTGCAATATTGTATCATGAAGGTGGCACTGTAGTCATGATCATGTGATGAACCATTTTTTTTCTTTTAACTTGTGATTGCAGTTGCTACGGGAACTGATTGACAAAAGGACATCATCAACCACCGACCCGGTCCAGCTAACCAGGTAAGGGGAGAATTTCCCGATTCCCTATTTCTCTGCGATCGTCAGGCGTGCAGTTTTAATTTTTTGTTGTTGTCGGAGGACGTACCTCAGCTCGTTGAATGCGCAGAGCCAGATTATCCTCACTAGTCCCGACCTGATCCTGTTCGATTGTTTGAAATTCAGGCAGTGGCTGGAAGTGCAGAAGCTGCGGAGAAAGATCAAGAGAAAGGTGGACACCAAAGCGAGCAAGGGGAGGAAGATAAGGTACGTGTACACGAGTCGGCCTACGGTGCCGGCAGAAACGTCACTAATTACGCAGGCACGGAAACCCTGTTGGCCGCACGTGCCGCCTCGTTGCGTTTTTCGCAAGACGCTCGGCTGAACTGAACCCAGCAACAGTTGAGAAAAAAAAATTAAAGAAGCGTGCTCGGTGTAAAAAGATGCAACGGGTCAACCGTCCCCGGGCTGAGCAACCTCAGCGTCCAAGCCTGCCAGGGGGCCACAGTTTTATTGTTCGGTAGGACCAGCTTCCACTGTCTCAGAATTGATGGCACGTGCATTGCCACTGTTGTTAAAAGTCGGGTGTAACGAGCTCCTACAGATTTGTACACCACTAACGCTGTGTCCCATTCAGTGAAGTTTGTGAAAAATTGTCTATTTTTTTTTTTTTTAGAAAGTGGAGCAGACATGACTCGCGTCACAGTTCTGAATTCTTACATTGAATTTTCTGTAAGTTCAACGGCTAGAATTGCTCCTAGTGTTGTTGAATTTCCTGACCAGAATCTGACACTACATTTGGTCTAAATGTTGTGTCTTGTACGCGCGACGCCATCGTCCAAAGTTAGAATCAGGGTAAGCGTGCTTTTTGCCTGTAATTTCACATAGATACGACGTCCATCCTCCACTTGTGAGCTTCATGGCGGGAAAGGACACAGGGACGATGATGGAGAGTGCTAGGTAAGCGGATGAAGGCAGCCGTTCCTCATGAATATGCACAAATCTTTGATCTCACTCAAGTAGAAAATTACATTATTCATTAGTTGTTTCATGTGGACAAAAAACTAGGCCTGTTTATACACTGAAGGGATAGCACATGGAACCATTCGGTCAGTCATTATGAATATTAAAGTAAGAGGAATACCTCATGAATATACATGAACGTGACCCGTCACGACACAATGAGAGTACAGTCGCATCCTGCTCTTTCGTATTTTGAGGGTTCGAAGTCATATTGATGTGGAGGACTATTTTTGAGTTTTGTAATATCTAGAAAGAGTGACCTGTCGCCTGGTTCATTCCAAGTATTTCGCAGGACTTTCACAGCAACTTTTATGGTACAAGTGTTCATGCCTGGCCGGAAACAAAGACGCCAGGCAGCCACAATATTGTCACATTGTCACCTGATACTTTTACGCTAAGTGTTCCGTGTTACATACCATTGGAAAGCTCTCTTTCTGCTGAATTAAAAAATGCCAATATCTGAATTTTTGAAAAATCCCGATTTTCAGCTCACTTTGCGGCGAAAGGTCACACGTGCGTGGTTTTGAATCCTCCTTTAATTGTAAGAGTCACGGCCAGTCAATTCTACTTCATGTAGGCAGGGGACTCTTAACTGCTACAAACAGCCACTGGACTGATTTTCACTGATTGGCAAACTTTTTCCCGAATGCACATCTGCAATTGTCGCCGTCATAATTTACAGACGTGTATCTGTGAGGATTTGGGAGGGTTTGGAAAGTTTCCTGGCCCAAAATGCACCACAAGTAGAAAGGATAAATGGCCCTCTAGTGCAGGTATCTGCAACATGTTCAACATTGTGACCTTCTTATCTTGTCTGTTATTCTTCAGGGACGAGTTGTTCAGGTCATTGTTTGGCAGACGGAGGAACCTAGCCAAAGACGTCCTCTAAAGATCCAGCCGACGTAGGTACGTTTCGTCGCGTCCCTGGTGTTCCATTATCAGCTTTCCGTCGTCGGCAGCAGGCCCACTTTTGATGGATTCCAGGGCCAGTGTAGGCAGCCTCGCCTCTCACCGACCAAAGACTTCCCCGAACCAGGGCTTCATGCGGTCGCCGACAGCTGGAAAACTTTGCCTAGCAAGCCAAAGCTGAGAGCCAATCATGAGCAATGTATGGTACTTACTTACAGGGACTTTAGCCTGGTAAGCTGTGTTGCTTTAATGACAATTGTTTTCTTTCGGTAGTTGATAAAGGCGTGGTGACTCTGAGCATAATCACGCTCTCAGGGGCAAAAATGCAGAACGTTACTGTTCAACCGTCGTTCTCCGAGTTGTAATTTAAAATTTTCATGGAGAGTGACAAAAATATTGAAAGGGGGAGGCCGATGGTCTTGGCTCACTTAGAAACCTTGTCCAAAATTTTGTGCTCGTCTTGGTATCTTTGCCGTCTTGGAATAGTTTATGCCATCTATTAGCAGCCAAACGTTTAAACTGCTACAAGCATGCTGAGAGACAAATCGTTGTGGGCTGCCAGGCAACTTCTGTAGGTTGGAGAGCACAGGTTTACTGGGAACACTTCAGAGCCGCAGCTGTCTCGAAGACCATCTTGGGATGCATTCCCCTCGTATCAGGGACTTCGAACACTGTTCTCCCATGTACATGTATGCCTGACGTTAACTTTCATCAAGATGCCAATCTGAGTGATATACAAGGTACATGTGTGTACATTAACCCTAACCCTCGAGGGCATTTTGGCTTAGACACCTTGCCAAAGCATCTTGCCTGCCCAGTGTTGACAAGATCCAACAGGTCAACTCTCCCCAAGGCCAGACAGCCTGGGAGTCGGTGGTTGCCAGTCACCAACAAGATCGAACAGTGGCATTGTCCAATGGGACTAGATCCCATTACAATTAGCAATTTAGCGATAACAGGTGCATCAAAGAATTGACACTGGCACGCACACCGAGAGGTCAGATTTGTGGTGCAATAAAATTTATTTCATTCTCTTCGTTACAAAATATTCATTCCTCTAGATTTGGTTTTTGTCTTACACATGTTAAAGTAAATGCCTCATTTTATGCAGTCGTCCAACAATTAAAATTGTAACTTATTTCCATACTGTAGAAATGGACTGCTTCATGTACTCTAAGATCACACACGGAAACTCCAACTTTTAATTTAGTAGAAAACAGAGTTGTTAGTAATACCCATAACTTGCTGACATCGGTTAGGAACTACATAGGGATTTTAAGCAATCCAATGATGTGACTCTCTGTTATGAAATCAAGAAATCATCAGAAATCATGTGTCTCAACTCGTAAGTGATACATATCTATTGCCCATGGTTAGTTTTGAGTTTTAGATACTAAAGGGTGCAACAGTAAAACACCTCTTTTTTTTTCGTAGAAGGGCACAGAAATCAGGGCAATATTTTGTCATTTGTATGAGGTAATAATCATGTTTTTTCCCCTGTGACATTCATTTGCGCTGTCTTAACTACTTCTTACAGAGTGTCGAATTGGTGTTTTTCTAACCAATGGTTCCAACTTGATCCAACTTTCACAACACGGGTCACATTTTCTTCAATTTTTTTTTAAAAACTCATACATATACATCCGGTACATCACAGCGGGCATGAAATCTGAGGAAAATTGAAATATCCACGAAGAATGACCAGCGGTGTAAGGTCTGTGGTTTACATTTTCGTTTGCCTGAACGCACCACATCCTAAAATGAACTTTTACACTTACAAACACCTTAATGGTAATCTTGGGATTTTCCACATTTTGAAAGATTGTTTGAAAAATCAGGAAACCAGGAAATTTCAGAAAAAAATCCTGAATTCAGGAAAAATTCGGACAAATCTCACCCTCGATGACATGTACACTTGTATGTCTGCCCGTTTTTGTTCAAGTAAAATTATTCAAATCAACTAACACCTTCACAAACATACTAAATAAAATCTCAAAATATACTGTACATGTACCCCGTTGTCAACAATTACAAATAATTTGTTTATAAAGATTTTTTATATCCAACAACTAAAACTCAATGAACGTAAAGCCAGATAAAGCACCAAAGATAAACTATATTTCATCCAATTGCAAAAAGTTTCAAGAGTTAAAACAAAACTTACTAATAAAAATCTCAGAATGGTGAAAAAGACTACCACAGATCAATAAAGACGAAGAAGCCAGTTGTGGGTTCACATTGCACCCAATCAAGCTTGGAAGTTTTGGAATTCAAGATATGGAGAACCCCCACCAAGAATCTGCCTCAACTCTACGGTACCTCCCTAGGGTGGATTTTACTAGCAACCTTCCACATCCTTGCAAATCCCAACACTACATGTACATGTAGTAAACTATGCAAATAAACAGTTGGACTCTCTATTTGTGGAGAGCCTCATCCCATATAAAACACAACTAGTATAGAGGCTTTGTGTGGTAGCCATCTTGTAGGGCAGTTGTTTTGTTCCACAGGGAAATCTCCTTTGTGCGTACCCAGCGGATCAAAAGAACTGGCTCGCAAGATGGCAGCCGTGTAAACCCTCTACACCAGTGCAGTACATGCACTCATCCCAACAGATTCCAACAAAATCTGGTGTTGGAGTTTGGCTGATTTCGGTTATTAGGGTTAGAGAGGTCATTTCCAACTTAACAGTGATGTACAGTAACTGCGTAGACATGTTGCAATTTGTTGAACAGTGAATCACGTTACCTGCACTGTTTACTTGCCGTCCCCACTTTAACAGATATTTGATAGCCATCTGAAATAATGCTGTTATTCAGCAACAGAATTCAATCTTGAATCGCGTTATCCCAAAATATTGCTTCTCGTACCTTGTGTAACACACGCTGTAAACAGCGTTGTAGCCGAGACCACTTAAGACCTTCACGAGACCAGCACAAGACCTCCACTCTGAATCCAAGTCACAACCAATTCAAATGAACTGCAACAAAAGCATTCCTTTGTCGTTCTTCACCCTGTTACTTGTGTCTGGTCTCGTGATGGTCTTGACTACAGCGCCGGTTGTACGCAGCATTTGGCAGTGTCTGATGCTGACGTTTTTCATGATGCACTTGACCCTCCCTGTCCGTTTTTCCCAACTGTGCATCACCCAAAGTGAATCCCTTGTCCATACAAGATGCACAGGGTGCGGTCACCATTTACGTACACCATGAAGCATAGATACTTTGAAACTCACAATAGCATTCCGTTTATTTCACCAAGTCGTAGGCAGGTGAAATTGTAAGGTACAACTTAGGCATCCAGACGTTGCCTTCCTGTTCCCACGTTCAGACCTGCCAACATGCCGTACTCCTTCCTGAGGTCAGGCATTACCACGCAATAGATTAACATTTTAAATGAAGTGAAGGCGCATTTAAATACCTTTTTAATCTATTGTGTGGTAATGCCTGACCCCTGGAAGGAGTCCGGCTAGGTTGGCAGGTCTGCATGTTTGGCAAAAGTGACGACATGCTGTGACAAGTGACGACATGCATTGCATAATGTGTCACATTTTCAAGGTTTCTCCCATCAGCACCCAATCACATCAGAATAACTGACACAACAAGCAGCTAACAAGCCAAGCAAAACGTAATTGGAATGTTATGGAATATGTACACTTATCAGACTATGCAGCGGCTGCAATAAAAGAATGATTATCACTTGACAGCTTGAAAAAAAAAATCATTGAAATGTATGGAGACAAATGGAGAGTTACGTTGAGGTCTGGTGTTTCTAAATAAATCGTCCACTGGTACAGCTCACCAATTTTTCTACTATTAGAGGGTTGGATTTTTCAAATTTTGCCCTTTGCGTTGGGAAGAGGCAGAATATGGAAAAGCTGCACTTTTCCACGGAAAGATTTAAGACAAGCTGTTCAATATTTTGAGGTACACAACAACAACGGTTACATACACTGTACATGTATTTCTACCGTTGAAATCCAGGTTTCTCAACATATAAATTTATATGTTTTTAGTTATGTAAATTATGCCTTTGGAGAAAAAAAATATTGTTAAACTATTTATACATTGTAAATGTCTAAAAATGGTACTTCAGGAAGTGGCAAATGATTTCATCAAGGTCTATTTCAAACCAGCAGGTTTCAGATGAACAACGGGATCATTAAAGGTTAGATGGCGCCGATGCATATCATCACACCCTTGCCCGTGTCCAAACCTGGCTGCAGAGCAAGAGTGTTTATTATTCTCGGGATGACGAACGCATTATTCAGTTGAGCTGTCATTATCGGACATGTTGCCAGAGTTTTTTTTTTATAGCAACTATCTTTCCTGGCAAAAAAAACCAGCTTAAAGTGACGGTAACGTCAAGTGAACGCATCAGTTCATTGAATGACTTACTATCTTTTTTGGAAGCCACTAGGAAATAAAGTGATTACGATCCTGGTCTGAAACCTCCATGTACCTGCGGTATTTCAGTTACAGACGACTCTGGACCTTCACGGCCAGGAACTCGGCGACTTTGTCGATGAACTGGAAGGTGTTCAGGTAGTCCGAGCGCTGCACACTGCCGAAAAATGAATTGGATCAGAGGACTGTCATGTGGGAACAGCAGAAATTGGAACCTTTTCTCATGAACGGCCGCTTTCTGTCAGCTGTGACCCGCCCTCTGTACTTGAAACTTGTGACGTGAAATGAAAAAAGGCCTGCAATGCACGTCACAGAGAACATGTACCGTGGCCTGAGCCCGGACTGAACAAAAGATCACAGTGACAAAATAAGTAACCTCCAAATTACTTGTCACAGTAGGTTCCAACTTGTACGGTGGCCATGTCCTAGTTTTGAGTTTTTGGGAAACGTTAGAAAATACGGGGGATTCACAGTGCAGTGCGCCACCAAGAGGCTGTCATGGAGAGGACTTTTTGCAGTGCATTATGGGATAAATAGTCAACAAAGTGTCCTTTGCTAACTGGGCTGTGCACAGAAAACTTGATTGTTTTCAAATGCTTATCTCGGTTGAAATTTTGAAACTGCTTACTGTGAATGGGTGTCAAGTAGTCAAAATGATGGTTTTGAGTGGTACAGGGAATGCGCCTCAATTAAATAATCCAAAATCACGTACCAAGTGCGTTTAAAAGTGGGAGAGTATTGACCGTAAACTTGAAAAGTGGCCTGTCTGCAGCAAACTGTTGGTAGCATGCTATATTGCGAATCGGCCCATATTAAAGACCACACATTTTTTGGGACTGCAGGGCCATCCTCAAACCTGGGTACAGACTTGTTTTTTGACCCCAAATTGATGAAAATTGGATGTACCATTTAAAACACTCAAAGTGTCCATGGATATTTTGATGTAGAATTTCAACCCATTCCATTCTGCACCAAGGCCGTTTTCCAGTACTCAACTTCGTCTCCGTCTCAGGCTTCGTTCCCCGAAACCAATCCCCGATTGTGGGCCTGAAGCATTTAAATTTAATTGGATTACTGTAATTTTTGGTTCTCTTACATCTTATTTGATGTTCTGTGGCACTATTAGACTGATTACTGTGCTTACAGCTTCAGAGTTGGGTAGTAACAAACACAGTTGAAGCCTGAGACGGAGCCGAAGTTGAGTATTGGAAAACGGCCAAAGTTTTCACAAGACCCAAACTTCAATTGTGCCAAAACGAATCAGTCCTTCAGACAAAATATACCCCAAAAACACTATCACTCCCCCAACAAATTATTCTATGGATTGACTGATATGATGCAGGAAACATACTTGTTCATTCCTTTGATGCATATCGCCAGGTCTTTGGTCATGAAACCAGCCTCTATCGCCTCAACGCACGAGGCCTCCAGGTCCTTGGCGAACTTGGCAAGCTGGGCGTTGCCGTCCAGTTTGGCCCGGTGTACCAGGCCTCGCGTCCAAGCAAAGATGGATGCTGCGAGCAGGTTGCAACGGAATGGAAAGGCTCTTAAAACGTCTATTCCACTGACGGTACTGGTTGAGTGGGGTGGGGCAGAGTATTGCTCAAGGGTTACGCCAACAGTTTCAGTGTTACGGAAAAGTTATTAGGAAAGCTTTAAATTCAAAAGCATAACGGGGGTAAATTTTCACAGGAGGCATCCGGGTGTGCACCCATTTTTGCCAGGGGGAAAAGCAACTGTTGCTTGTTCATAGGCCAAGCTTATATCAACATTTCAGATCAGGGGCACAGACTGCCGCTGGTCCCTCCATAGGCCTTGCGAGGGGAAAAGGGGGCTTGTCCCCACCTCATCCCCCGTTTTCAGATCACTTTAATGGCATATGTTTCTTCAGTTTGAGACCCTATCGTTATGGCGTCCACTTACCGACTGAATTGGTGGATGTCTCTTGGCCCTTTTCATGTAGCCTGTAGTGGCGTGTGACGGTGCCGTGTGCGGCCTCCGACTCGACCGTCTTCCCATCAGGGCAGACCAATACACTGGTCATCATGCCCAGAGAACCGTACCCTGGGAAGGAGTGTGATGTACATCGTTGCCAATAACAATTTCTGCATTATTTGCGGTATGAACGGGTGCCGTAATTTTAAAAAGTTGGCTTGTACATTCGTTTTCAAACAGATGCGCTGAGTAATTGTGATAAACCCTCCTGCTTAGGAACACAAGATAGCATTAAGATAGTGAAAAGATCTGTTATTGACAGAGGGGCAATTACCTTGTGCTACACTGTCCGACTGCACATCGCCGTCATAGTTTTTGCACGCCCACATGAATCCTCCCTCGGATTTCATGGCGTAAGCCACCATGTCATCAATGAGTCGGTGCTCATACCAGATACCCGCTGCCTCAAACTTGGCCTTGTAGTCACTGCGGGCAAGAAAATATTACGCTTTAAATTTTTTTGGGGGGGACGAGGCACCCCGGGACATTTACGGCGAACAACTGATACCCTTCATTGAAACAACTGATGTAGCACAACTGCGGAAAGGGACTGGCCTGATTGCTTCCGCTAGGTAACGTCCCTTGCTGTTGTCAGAGATTCACATTGAAGCATACACTGATCTGGATCTCTCTCTCAATCCGAAGGAGGAATACCCAAAGAACCTCCATGCCGACCTACCAGACCCTACTGCCGTGCTTTTTCTTCATGCAGTTCAAGATGGCGTAAGTTCGGAGCACATCCCCAACCTCTTCAATACGGGCGATTCACCATAGAGAGCCACCAAGATTTTCCAACGCGTTGGCCAATCACAACGCGCTAAATCTGTCCACCCTTTCCAAACGTGCATTGGGTCGACAGACGGCCGTATTCAGATTCAGGATTTGTCACTGACCTTTCGTATATCTCTTGGAAGATGTCCTTGAACCGGCCATCGTACTTCTTCAGAATTGTGTTCTTGGTGCTGAAAAGCAAATCAGAAATGCCAGAAGTGGTCAATTCCAATCAGTTTTGGAAAAGAAATTGAATTTCTTGTGGACCTTGCACCAGGCAGACACACTGTGGCCACACCTGTGTTGGAGACAATACATAGCTCAAAGGGCAGAAACATGCGGTCTCCATGTGCCGATAGCAGGCAACTGCAGCGGAATGGTTTCAAAGTGGGGGGGTGCAATTGTAAGATCATCAGGCAATCTGATAAACTTGAACAAAATCGTCTGAAATTTGTGATGGCGTAACTTGTGAATGAGAATAAATATATGCTTTGCCAGGCTTTGACGTTAAGACCAACTCAGGAGAATGGATGCTGATAATGCCCAAACCAAAGTCGTGTCCTTTCTCCTGAGCTGGTTGACCGGCCAAGCACATATCTGTTCCCCTGTTTAAAACGTTACGCAAATGGAAATCTTTAGTCTCTCGACATAACCAACCCACCTAAGGTAGAGTGGATACTTCCTTTCCAACGCGTAGTTCATGGAGCTATATGCGAAATCACGGATGGACTTGTCGGTGTTGTACATCCCCATGGCAACCCCTCCGCCATCTTTGAAGTCATTGATGGTGAAGTTGATGACCTCACCACCGTCGTCTGGAGTGAATTTTATCTCCACCTTCCCGTGACCAGGAACGACAAAATCTGTGGCTTTATACTGGGATTAGAAGAACAAAGGAAAAGAAATTGTTTCTTCCTGCAAATCGGCCATCCGCAAAAACTTGATACAGCCGGTTCACAATACAGTGTACATGTCACCAAGAGGTTGGAAAGGTTATTTTCCAAATTAATCATCGACCAAAACATGACATTTATTTATAGATATTTCAATGTTGAGGGACCAGCATTCTGCTACCTAACAAGAAACTACCATATTGATACATGTAAGTCGAAACTACCCAAATAAGCTATAGAGGGTTTGCATGACTTCCATCTTGTAGGCTAATGCTTTTGTTCCACAGGGTATGCAAAAAGGAGGTTTCCCTGTGGAACAAAAGAACTACCCCGCCAGATGGCTCCCGCACAAAGCCTTCGTAAGTTTCAGAGTTTCAACTAGAGACTGCACAGGAAGTGATTTTTTTCCTACTTGATCAGCATGCGCATGACGACCAATCACAATGGGCTTGTTCCAGCCAACCACCAGCCGGGGAATGTTCTTGCAGATGATGGCCTCCCTAAAGACGGTCCCGCCCAGGATGTTACGGATTGTGCCATTGGGTGATTTCCACATCTTCTTCAGATTGAACTCTGCCAAGGGAACCAATCAGGAAGCTAGACATAAATACTCCTAGAGGAACTCAAGAGATGCCTGTTAAGGGTCCAAAAAGCAGAGTACCACTAACAGGGAATACACATGTCACTACTTTTGGCTGGTAACCTGCTCTTCTGAAGAAATTACGTGCAGCTGCTACGCTCTGCAAATTTCCATGCTCATTATATAAAGAACCCTGATGGCACAAATGAGATAGATGGACTGAATGCAGACTGACCTTTAACCTTCTTATTACTGACCTGTAACCCTCTTCTCGTCCGGTGTTATCGTTGCACATTTGATTCCAACATTGTACTGCTTGATGGCTTTGGCACACTCCACAGTCACTGCAATGGAGGAAATACAAAAATCTTATTCGCTACACTAGCAGGAACAAAAGAGGGCATGTTTTGAGATGAAATCGACAGTCCCTTGGTACTCATGCACCGCATAGGTGCGCAAGTTTATGCACGTTTGACGCGGAGCAAGTGCAACAATTTACATCTAGAATGTGTGGACTTCGCGTACACGTTGAACACCTGCTAGAATTTGGTTGGAAAACTTAGTACCATCCGTCTTTATTGCGCCGGTCGGATGACGGAGGGCGCTCAGGGCGGATGACGAGTGAACAACAAAAATGTAAGGATTCTGACAACAAAACAGGCTGGGCTGATGCTTCAAAACCACTGGTGCTGGCATGTGTCTGTGAGACCCATGTGAAAATGACTCTTTGGGGTTTGGGTTCCAGATGAAAGCAAGACCCTCTTTGTCTATTTGCAACAGAGCATTAGGCTACTCCAGATTTTTTCAGCATTCTAACAACATTTATGCAAGCAATCAAGTGAAAATGGAAGTTTCTTCGTTGAAGAGTTTAACATCAGGGAAACGCATGACTGTAAAATGTCAGTGGGGATCAGTTAAAGTATGGAGGAAGGACACAGAAGGAGTTTGAACTGCCCGAGCTATAACATTCTAGCTAATTACTGCTTTCTGGCATGCCCGGTATGACCATATAGCCAGAGCGCATGCACCATCTGTTTCACAACCACAAAACCCTTTGATTGCCGCCGTAATTTTTCGCTGGTAATCTGCATCCTTGAAACTGAGGTATAGAAAATTGAATATTCATGCATTTGGTAGTGCTTGGTATGACGCCATAACATAAAATTTAATACTTGCCTATTGCTGGTATTATGCCATGTGGCCTAAATGTACACCGTGCAGTCACTGCCCAATTAATGCTTTCTTCTGGAGTTATTTTAGGAAGAAATTGCCTTGTTCAAAAGATTTTGTGTTTTGTTTGAATCATTTTTATTGTGGCACTTGCATAAAAGCGTATTTTACGAGATTTCGTGATCACTCCCTGTGATGAAATAACATATTTTGTTTCTTATGAACTTAGCTTTCTAGCAGTAGTCAACATTTTTTTGGCCAGTTTTAGCCAAATTCGTACCGAGTCTTTGAAAACTGATGTATTGGAGGGTGGGGAATATATTGCAAACTATGCATGGATAATGGTACAGTATATCAAAATTAAAAAGCTTATTCACAATGGCAAATGTAGGTCTAATATCAGAGCATTTTCTTTCTCTATTTCATGGTCACAGCAATAATTTGTATTTAGTTGCAAGCAAAACACTACAGGTAGGCCTATTGCGAGGATATTACTGGCTCTGCTTGTCCGGCTAAGATGCAGGCAGTAATCGGGCCTTTTTGGAATGTTTTTTATTATCTGATTCAGCGGAAATGATCATTATACACTTGAAGTGCCAGAGTTGCAACTCCTTCTGTGTCCTTCCTCTATGATTAAGGATTTAAGAATCATAATAAAATCTTTAAAATCACCTAGAAAGTCTGTGTGACTTAAGTCTGGTTAAGTTGGAAGATTTAGCACTGAAAGTGTTGTTCAAAAAAATCACGTATAAAGTCTATGGCATTTGATGGGGAAGAACAAGAAAAAGAAACTGAAAAAAAAAAAAAAAATCTGCACAAAAGCAATGTCCTTTTTGCAACTTGCAGAAAAGCCAACTGTGCTACTTATGTGCACTCTGTGCCATTTGTACAAATTACAGCATGTAATCAGCCACTGGGCACATAAGGCTCTGACACAAACTTTGCATACAGAGCCTACGTGTATAGGAATGACATAGGCTGGAATTTTCTGGATCTGCCCGTCATGATCGAGCTCCAGGTGTGAACAAGAGATTGCATGGTCATATATCACAAGAACGTCCCTTTGGTGGGTGCGCACAGAGAATCAAGCGTGCTTAGCACAGGTGGCTCTGAGCATGAGCAACGCGGAATGTTCAGTCATCCCATGTAGCATGCTTCTTGCTTCTCATTTCATTTGCCTGTGAGGGAGGTCCTTCCAAGTGGCTGGTCAACAGTGCGGTACTGTTCATATCTAAGCAGTGGGGAAAGCACCAGCACCTCATAAATCACATTCTTCCCAAATTTGCCCCAGTCTCCTGCATTTTCTTAATTACCTTGGTCATCGGTAGCATCTCTGTTCTGTATGCTGAGGTCAAAGCTCTTGATGTCCAAGTCGACATAGGGCAGGATCAACTTCTCTTTGATTGTTTCCCAGAAAATTCTACCATTTATGGGCAATAAGGAATTAGAATGGAAAACATGAACACTCTCCAAGAAAAATGCCAATGAGGATGCGTACAATACCAGCAGTATTTTATTTTGGGGGAGGGGGGGGGGCTACAGGGAATACGAAATAATGCAACCTTCACCCACTTTCATCATGACCATACTAAGCCACCAATTTACATTCACCTGCACAGAGTATAGGCCTAACTAAATCTGCGAAAATTAATCTCTGCAAACAGTCTGCGATGACTCAATGTAGACAGTGATGTATTATCTCCACCTTGACCTCAGAGCAAAATCAAGTCAACAGCGTTATCATTTTCTACACAGACGAAAAGTGTGTGAAGATTAACAATGCAGACAGCTTTACAGCTGTGACTTTATACAGTGTACATTTAATGAAAGGTGGTACACTGTATGTAGTGGTGTAATGGGAGTGTTTTGGGGCCCAGTGAGCGAGAATTATGAATGGTATACAAAGCCCTGTAATTTAAGCTCTCAGTAGCTAGATCAAGGGGTAAAGTTACTCTGTATAGACCAGTAACGATTGACATAACATATTAATTGCGTACTACAGTTGTGAGAGTACTAACAATCTATTACAGAGGGGTCATTCCATGAGGTTGGGGCACAGTTTGTGATGGTGTCCTTGTTACATGTTACATGGGTAACTTCTACCGTCTGTCGCGACCTGTAGAGTAGGTCATTTACTCTGTAAAAATAGCACACACCTTTGTATTCAGCCTTGCAATGTCAATTGCAATCACAATGTCAATTTGGAATCCATATGCATATAGCCTCATGGAATGACCCGGCTACATGTATGAGCTCTGATGCTGGGCGAGCATCTAATCTGCTTTCAACTTTGTTCTGGAAGGGCAGGAGCACAGGTGCCCAAGCGGTGCACGTTTGTGAATCTTGACATACGGGGTCAGGGGGTTGGAGTCCAGCTGCTGACCATGCATAAGTTGTGGCCTCGAGCAAGCCGCCTGATGACCCCTGCTTGCGTCCTCTCCACCCAGGAGTATTTATCATGGATAATGGCGTCAGCTGGGAAGCAACCCGAAATGGACTGACATCCCATGGGGGGGGGAATTGATATTTTCAGAGTCAAATCATGCTAGGGCTCTCCCTAGCATGACAAACAACGATCCGATTAGCCTAATGGTCCAGAACAGATTTGCTTTTTTTCGGTTATGGAATCTACCACATCTGTGGCAAGAAAATGTCCTGAACTGTGCCGTAGCCTTGAAAGTGGTGGCTCTGACATCATTCTCCGAGAATGGAGCCTCTTGAGTGACACACTTTGTAAACTTTGGTTGACCCAAACCCCTTACATGTCCCTTAACGTTTCGGAAGGTCCAGGCGCCCAGTAACTATGTAAGATATCTAACATGGTCACTGGGAGCCTGGAACCTCAAGAGCTTTAAGGGAGATCTAAGGGGTTTGGGTCAATGCATTTTAAGCCTGGGTGGGGGCTGATGTCAAACATTTGGAAACGAGAAGGGGGGATTTAGGGCTCACTTCAAGGCCTTGTGTAAAACAGTTTTGCCGTCTTTAGTATCGGGAGCAATTATAGACATTAAAAGACAGCTTGTTTCGTCAAGATTATGCTGTGTATTAAGTTGAAATTTTCCAGGATGTAAATGTAGCGAGGAAAATGTTCAATCATTTTAGACTTCCCAGTTTGGTGGCTACGGTTTAAACAAGGTGGGAGACAAGCAAAACTCGGTGGGCCGCATGGCCACTTCTGTAGGTTGGCGATTACGCAGGGCATGGTGCCCCTTGAAGAGTGAGTTTCTGAATCTAGGTGTTAATTTTAAGAAGACTTAGGAAGATTCCAGGCTTGAAAATAAAAAAACCAACCGAAGGACTGGAATTAAACCCTTCCTTTTTCTTCCGACTTTGATGAAATTGCAGTTTCTCTCCAATTGTCTATTCTCCATGGGGAACTGTGGAGTCTTTTGTCAGTCACAAAGGGCAGCCTGTACAAAAGGCATCCCCGTCAATGCATCCCAAAGTCCACAAATTGTCAGACTTGACCTGGCTCACTTCATCAGACATCATTTGCGGGTGATAAGCAACAAACAAGGGCACTGACTATCGATCAAAGAGCACTCAACGCTTTGCACTGTGCTCTGTCTACAACCTACTTTGCCATAAAATGCGCATAAAATGGCACTATTTATAGAAGATGGATTTGGTGTCTTCACCGTGTTGGGGGGACAATTTGTTGTGTTTGGAAAGTTCGGATTGAGATGCGGGGACACAAATTTGTCCCCATTTGGTCCTCACAATACATACATATTATTTTCAACAGTCTTCTAGTCCTCACACAATACTGGTGTGAAGCACGGTTGTAGCCCAGTACTCATAGCCCATCATAAGCTATCATAAGCTATCATAAGCCATCATAAGCCATCAAATCTCAAGTCAATTCATTAGCTACATGTTGTTTAGATCACAGAGCAAAGACAAGCTTTGGTTCATATGAACTGAGACAAAGGCTATCACAGAGGGTACGGCTGCATCCGAATCTGTTGTCTAGAGCTAGGTCGAGCTCTTCAGTCCATAGGAAATATGCAGAGATGCTCAGACAATAGACCTAGCCATAGCTCAGGAAGCCCATCTCGAACACGGCCTATAATGTCCACCCGCTGTGATACACAAAGGCCTATTACACCCACCTAGTGTCACCTAACCCAATTGTGTTCACAACAAGGCACAGCTGAGCGTGCCCAACTTTGGTTATTCCAGCAGAAATGAACACATGGGCACAATGAGGGATTTCCGACAAAAATGGGAAAATTTGTGGCACAGATGTTCCGCGCACAGAGTCCAAAATTTATCTTTGTTTGGGTTTGCATGACATAAATTCATGGGAAGAACTCCATCAACAGAAATCCCCACCACATGTACTTTTTCTCCGCAGTGATATACATGTATCAGCTATCAAAAAGTGATAAAATCCTAAAATGTAAACTTTAGTAACCCATGAATATATTGAAAGCAGTTGCTTAGAAAACAGTTTTTGGGACTGTTTCACAGAGCTTATGAACAGGTAGCCCAGGTTGAATATCCTGTACATTGCATTGCAGTAAGTCGTAGTGTAATGAAGAGAACGCCCAACCTGGGCTAATGAACAGGGTGTTAAGTGATGTCCAGGTATGGAAATCTTTTCTAATTGGTAGTTACCTTGTCATTTCATCTCCCTTGGCTTCAACTACTGTCCCTCCTGGAAAGTAACACCCAAAATGGGACTTTTAATTCAATTTCAAAGGATCAATAACGATCTAATGCAGTTAAACAGAATGGCCTTGTGTAGATGTGACTAGTGCAAGCTACTGAATTTGTTAACGTCACATACATGTACAGTTCCGAGGAAGGGAAACCATGTTTATGTATTTATTCAGAGTGGCAAAGAACATGCAACAATAACCCGTATATTTTACCAAACTGATTGATAAGTACAGTAGTTCACTGATTTAGACATGCTTCCCAGGAAATCTTATTTTCAAGTGAATTTCCTGCAGGCTAGGGTCATGGTGCCAAAAGGTGATGAGTCTACCAGTACACTAGGTGCATAAACAGAGTGCACGTAGGGACCTGTTTACAGGTCTACCGGTAGGCCTACTAAAAGAACATGTCCAACAAGACTAGCTGAGTAACGTCGGAGTAGACAATCAACCAGGCCATGGTCTCCGTCAACATTTAATTCGCGTATATTCTATCGATAGGAAATTGCTTTCCTATAGCCGGGTAAAAGAAACATGCAACTCCGGCTTTCATACAGACAAAATCATGAACGTGGACTGGCCAACTACAGACTAGTACTCGTACAAATCCTACCACGTACTAAAGACTTCAAGTGAGTCAGCATTTTTCTTCATAATGCATGTCACGCCATGACAAACTTTATCACGCTACGAACATGACGAATTTACCTTGAAAATTTTTAAGCTTTGAAAAGAAAGACAGAGAAATTCACTGTGCTACCTGGAATCCTCGACATGTTGACTCTCCCCTGCTGAAATGAAAACAAGTTTTTTCACATGAAATGAGTTCCAACTTGATTTTTTTTTCCCTTAAACGGTGTGAGAGAACGTACAGTGTAACCAAAGAACACACACTGGTATGATTTTATGATTTTGTTGTTTCCAACATCTTTATTTAAAACATACATTTGGAGTAAACCTATCCTGCTTGCAGCTCCAGGTAGTAAGCGTAGTACTAACTGTACGTTTAAATAAAGTCTTAGTTAAGATGGGCGTCGTCCGTTTGTCGTGCTCTGATTGGTCTTGGTGGTTTATTAAACTTAATTAAGTCCATCAAGCTTAGCAGTTCAAACAGGCCCAACCGTTATTAAACAACAGCGATATAAAAGTAACACCGGACTGTGAGAGGTTTTGTGCACATGAACCTTTTCCCCAAATATACGCGTGCACGCATGGAGGAAGGAAAAGCATGTCACACACCCGGAAAAAAAATGCACAATCTTGGAAATCTACTTCAAAGTTTGCGATTGCATCAGCCTTCGGGAAAAGCAATCGCTGTTTGGTTTTGATTGTGATCCCGCCAAATTCAGCAGCGAATGAATTTCGATACAGCATTTATTAACTTGATTTTTTTTCTGTAAAACGAGGAGCGAGTACGTGCCGGCCGATCGCATGGGTGTTTATCGACCGATCGCACGCACCCATGCATCGCACGCGCACGCATAATCTGTTTTGTGGCAAAGTACTTTATTAAAAACCTGTACTTGGAGTAAATCGGTCCTGGTTGCAATCCAGGTATTAAGAGTGGTGCAAACTATACGTTGGAATAACAAGTTCATTAAGGTGGGCGTCATCAGTTTGTCGTGCCAGTCTGAAGTTCTACTAAACTTCATGAAGTCCTTAAAATTCTCTAGTAACAAAAAGCTGAACTGTTCAAACAAAACGAAGTCGTTATTTATTAATACAGCGTATATTACAAATGTATCACTTTCATATGAGAGGTTTTGAGTAGAAAGCAGTTTTTTAAAAGGATAGCCGCAATTGATTTTAATACATTTTTTTGTTTACAACCTTGTGCTCTTCTTCAATGTATGAACACTATTTTACCCTCCCACGCGGTTACATACACCGAAAGGTGCACTTAAGGGTGCGTTCCACCAAATTGTTGGATTTCTGCGCGCGAGCACATTAAAGGATCCAGGAAATGAATTTTTCTTGCAATCACTTTTTGTGTATCTCTGTACTCTTCTGCCATGTATGAAGACTGTTTGACATCGTTTTTGAGTTACGTGAACTGAACGGTGCACTTTTTCAAACATTAAAAATTGACCAAGCGTTTCTGAACAAGTGAGGACGCTTTTGCTTTGATGTAAATCCAGGAAGACATGGTTCAAGTTGCATGTTTTCATGTTCAAATCGTGAACCCCAACTTTGCTATCTGGGAATATATCTGTGAAAAGGAGTTTTGCTGGATTATTGCCATACTTACCCAGCAATAAATTGCCAAAGAAAATGAAATCTGCCATAGCAGTGGTTGAAAAATCTAGACTTTTTCTGTGCATAAATCAGTGCCACCTATTGAGATTCAGTGCTTTGGATGACATCACAGTTCTACTCATGAATATGCAAATGCCATTAGCATAAACCAAAAAAGCATCAAAATATGGGTTCAAATTACAAAACAAAAATTTAAAATGAGGTTAATTGAAACCCAAAGATTCAAAAGTTTTTAGAAAAATCTATAAAATATTTCTATTTTCTGGTTCCTTTAATACTTTGTGAATCCTCAAGGTTTTTACAGTAACACATACCAAGATCAGGAGGGATGATAGAGATATTTGTATAAATCCCGAATTTGGGACTAAACAAGTAGTAGTTTAAAATTCGGGGTATTTCTTTCACAAAAAGCCCCAACCTGTGGGCCTAATTTGGATAGAGGCGGGCGGCTACATTCAGAGCTGAGCGCATAGTTTTACTACTATTTTGAGGGTATCTTCGGGGAAAGGCGAATTTTTAAAAAAAATTACGTGGCTAACCATGGCTAAAATTGAAACAAAAAGTGAACTTCTGGCCATAATCTTGAATTTCCAGTGAAAAACCGAAGGCCAACTTGTTCCCGAGACTAATCAACAGGCAGTGCTATTTCGCCCGATTTTGCATTGTTTTCTATGGGCTTGTATTTGGTGCATTGTAATCTCTATGTATTAAAAACTTATCCTTGCTTTCCAGGACAACTGAGGGCGCTGCTGCTGCGATGTCATCCAAGGAATTTAGACATGGCTCATTGCATTAAGGGTGCACCCTTATATTTAGGCCAGAAATATGTCCGCCGAGCTCATTAATAACAGTTATACCCTCAAAATATTCTACATTAGAGGGTCCTGAGAGCCATGGAACTGGGGAATTGAATAACTATGAGACTGAACCTCTGGGCCGGACTCGAGGCTTCCAATTCTGAGCAATTTGGATGCAATCGGGTCCGAAAGGGCACTATTTGAGCCATTTTGCTGAGGGATGTTTTTTTCAAAATGGCCACTTTTCTGGACAGGGACATTTTAGGGGTGTCTGCTTCTGGTGAAAATTTCTCAAAAATTCATTGNAATATGGGGATTTAGCACTGGTGTCCATGGGAATTTACTTGTAGTGGTGCACCCATTGATTTTTTTTATTAAAAGTGTGAACTCAGAATTTACTTACTGAAAACATTTCTGAGAAAAGAATTGATGCTAACTTACTGCTTTATTGATTAGCAAAATAAAAACCAACAAAAATGCATAACTTTTTGTGTACAAGCCATTGTAACTAACATTTAGTTTACCAATGAATATGGAAGTACTCATTAGAATAAAAAAAACGAAAAGAGATCAAAATACCCTTTAAGCAGTGAAAAAAAGGTTGAAAACAGGTTAACTGAGACACGGGTGCATTTTGAAGGTTTTTATTAAAACAAAATTATCGCAGCTACCCTTTAAACAAAGTTACAAACGATGTGATGTTCAAATATTTTCCGAATTCCGGATGTTGTTAGTATCACATGATGCCAACTTCCACCAAAAGATTCTTTTACACTGTACTTTATTCGCATGTCCTTCAAACTGTTCAAAAGGTTTTGATACAAAACTGACTGATGTAAGCAGAACTAACGTGCAAGAAATGCTCAAGGGTACAGGTCATCGTTTGTCAAATATTTTATGCAATCTCCTGTGAGGCTAAAAAAAATACTCAAAATCTAAAGAAAGATGCGCAAGAACAAACTTGATGGTGAAAAATATTCGTCAGGTTTGTCATGTTATTTCATATCATAAACTTTGACAGAGATGGTACTTTAAATTAATACCGCAAATAGCAAAAGAAGTTGCTGTGGCGACCAAAAGCGGAGAGAAAAAACATTAAAAGAATGCCACAATATGGAGTTTTTAAGAATCAGTAAAATTCTATGCTCTTTCTAAATTATAGGCAAGCTTTTTGCTGCTAGCGCAAGCTACAAAATTAAATAACATCGAGAGCCAGTGTCACGTGGAAGTCTGGTCGTCTATGGTTCATCAAGGTTAATTGAAGATGTTCCTACTTCCAGGAAGCCTTCTTGGAAGCCCTTCCCACCTTCTGGGCGAAGTTACTCAGAACATTCGGATGCAGTTCCCCCGCTTCCTGACCGTGGCACAGCCAAGCGCACCCCCTAATCGGATCCTGTTGTGTGAAGAAAGGAGCTCCATTTAAGTGTTTTTTCAGAGGACACAGGCATTGCCACAGTCTACATGGACCTCGAGCTGGACCAAGAGAGGGCGCTATTTTGTTAGCAACAGGGGCGCCTTTGGCCGGAACCAACGACCACGAAATGCACGCGTTACGGTTGCATTGCTACCAAGAAAACTGAAAATTCCGACGCACATGGCACTTTTGCCGCTGACCGGTGCGTCTGCTCGAGGCAGAAATGAAATAGTCACTTACATTTATGAGCGCAATGATACGAGAGACCACCCAGCAATTGGTCGTGCAAAAATCACTTTACCTGTATGGTTTTGACCGATCTGCAGCAATGGACCATGGGCGATTGCTCGGCGCTGACGTATGTGTCAGCTGACGCCTCTGAACTAATCATCAGCTTTTTGAAAATTACGGCTCGAAATGACTTCACATTCGATTTGCATGCTTAGATAATAACAGAAGTCAAGCTGTCACGAGCCGCTGCGGGCTTCTTTTACCCACGGGTTGCACTCAGGTTTAGGTGCACATATGGGATGTGCACTTGACAGAATTACCAAATAAGTACACCATTTCAATAATTATCCTGGCGAGAATTCTGTCTAGCTTTCCAGTCTGTAGCCTATAATTTAATAAAATCGTATTGGAAGCCATTAGTGCAGTTGTATCAAGATCGTAGGCAGGATTTACGCGGACATTACATCTATCTTCAGTTAGTAAGGTGTTGTGATTTGTCAACAAACGCACACCCAAGGTTTAAGAACAAGAGCGTGTTTATATGCTGCTACAGTATTGAGTTAGTTCAATCAACGAAGCATGAAGTGGTTTCTTGGGGCACTTGATCGTTGGATAGACTTCATTTGAGCAATAGCCCGGGTCAACATTTTCGACACGTGGACATTCAATATTAAATACGCTTTGGTAATGGAGCATATGTGCATGGCTCACAATGCCTCGCGTGTCCGGAGGCGTGGCTTACTTCACCAAACTCTGAGGAGGGTGCTTGCCCTTCCCGGCCAGTAGCGCACAGGAACAGGGCATGGGGGTTGCGAATATTCTGAGCACAGGTACATTCGTCAACCTCATCCCCAAGGTTCCCTCTTAGGTAGTCTTGTAGGAGGCACGTGTACCCGTACATTGACATTTTTCCTTATAGCTTTGGAGACAAATACGTTATTTCACCTATCAATTAACAATTTCACCAGTTAATGAACAGGTTGCTCAAGTTTCCTCAAAGTGATTTTTGTTCAATTTGAGACAGAGTGAAATTCCTACGTTTGCACGGTAGTAGAGGAGAAGGCCTGCCTAACCTCTTTGAGGACACATTACCCAAATGACTTACCAGGTAATCGTGCACAATTGCCCGAGTAATATCTGGATATTCTTCCGCAAAGTCGTCACAATACTTGGCGAAGACAGCAGGACTCCATAACAAGCAAATCCTTCGGCCATTGTCAACAAACGCTCGCTGTTGAATGAGCATATCTGAGAGACATCTATCTAAACTCAACGTTAACAGGGATCTATTCAGGATTTTTTCCGGGGGGGGGTCAGGTCTCATTTTTGCGGACAAACGGGAACGATGACGAAACATTACATAACTTGTTTACAATGGTATTTGTAACACCTCGTACACATAAGAAGAATCTTTTTTTGTTGTTCAATTGTTTTACCTTTTTCGTCTCAGAGGTAGGGAGCGTTCTGCGACTTTTTAATGGTATAAAATTTATACACAGCTCGGAACTGAAACTAGCACGGTCTTTGCGCACGTACACGCAGAACGCGTGCAAGAACCCGTTGGGGGCGCACTTCAACTTGGGACGGATTGTCCCAAATGCTCTAAACACGATAAACAAGTAACAAGTAGAACCATCTTCAAGAAAATGAAGACAGGTGATATAAATTTGTACACAGAGCTATGCAGAACTACTGCTATGCCTTGGATATCATGACGCTTAAAACCATAAATACTGAAATCCTTTAAATGCAGGTGGCGCAGTCGCATCGTGATGACCAACAAAACCAACTTTCCCCACTAACTTAGCTGCTTTCAACCGATGGTGGGGGTGTTTGAGCCCAAGGCAAATAATGGCCTTGAAAGGCCAAAAATAAGTCTCCGATTTCTAGTCAGCGCGCTTGTCGGCGTAGACCTGCGAATCGGTAGAATATAAAGTTTTTTTACTTGGTATAATACGATCTCCAGAAGCTACCAAACTTGCTTGATCGACTAGAATCCTACCACTGCGTAATTTTAACGTGTTTTTAAGATGGGGGTATGGTTGGGTAAAATGTACAGTAAAGGAGACCCCCAGGCCCCCATATATTTAGTTGGGGCCTTTTTCAGGTGACGTTATTTCTGCATTATACATTTACATGCACATCTGGAAACCTGACAAACGAGGTGGTATGGTGTCCTGTGTACATCTAGCTGAAAGCACTTTAAAACAATGAGGGGGCCAGTCTATTTCAGTGTTGGTAGCGGCGGTACGTACATGTACATACAAACATATATGTGTGTAGGAAAAAAGTCGGGGAAAAACGTCGCCGCACTAGTTTTCAAACCAGCCCCTGACCAGAAACTGGAGACTTTTTTTGCCTCAGAATGCTTTTTGTCCGATTTTGGCGCTGTAGCTGCATTCTTCTAACCCTCGAATAAGCAATAACCGTTTGACTTCTGGTTAATCTCGCGAGCGTTCCGATAAAGGTAGAAAGGCACGAGGAATTCACTTGCCATAAAGTCTTTGTCGAGCGTCATGTTCCTCACGTAGGTCACACACAGCATGCAGAACTTGCAGTAAAACTCCCCATTTGGAGGGGTGGTCGCGTAACCTAAAATGTTGGTCAAAACAAAGGAGGAGACTCAAGGGTGTGTTGTAGGATGCCAAAATTAGGCCGTATATGAACAATTAAACAGTCGGTATACACATAGTCGTATACAACTTGAACGACAATTGAAATTTTAACCAATGTCCCCCAAGCCCCTGCTGGGTTGAAAATGAACTTGAAGATTTAAGCATTTGTTCATGGCGCTCATTACCAAAGTGCGCGTGCGCAAGAATTGCACTTAACAACGGCATAGCAACAGGCTATGTCTGATTTCGCGCGCTCTGATTGCAAAATGAGGCGTCATCTTTATTAATGGATTTCTGGGAAACGGAGCAAAAAGAATGAAATTTTTCATGACAAATCCAATAATCGTATGATTTTTCGGTAGGATTGATTTTGTGCCCTGCATCAAAAAACTAATGAAATAAGTAATTTAAAATATTCCGAAAATTATTTTATTTTTCACCTGAAAAATTGAGTGTTGCCAATTTAATCAATATCTATTAAAATGAGGATTTTCTGGTTATAAAAACCAGATTGATATGAACTAGAAGACTGTCTTAATCGATTGCACCCGAAAACTGGAAATCAGCCGTATAACAATTTTTGTAAACTGAGTTTACTTATTGTGCGAATCCAGACATTTTGTTATAGAAAAAAAAAGTCACACATCTCATCTAAAAAATGCATGCCCTATTAAAACTCAGGTCAGGAATTATTCTATGGGGCATGAACATACGTGGAGTTTTTTTGTCCATCGCATGCCTGCATGAAATCGAAATTGTGCAATTTCAACCTTCCCAATCATTTCAAGTCTCGCCCTCCCTAAAACTATAGAATGGTGGAAAACCATGTTTATGTTTTGTTACCTGGAGTCTGGTCCTGCACTGATTCCTGCGGACTTGCTGCGGCAGCACCAATTCCTAAAATTGTATAAGAAAACGAAGTCATTTGTGTGTTTCGTGAAAACAATGAATGTTGTTGCATCATGCCGCATGTGGTGAAACGGTAGCAGTAAGTTTGTCGTTGGAATGAAAATCACTACACATTTCATTTCATTCATTCCTTTATTTAATATCTTTTGTATCCAACATAGTTATTGAAATAGATTGAAATTCGTTGTGGTTTTGCGAGCGTTAAAACTTGATAATCAAAATATAAATATGAATACAAAACAATAATAAACCACGTTACAAAAATTTACAGCAAAATTACACAGCATGAGTAAAATAACGATTGATTAAATAAAATGAGATTAAGATAACAATAAAATCTGATGAATCACTGATTAGGACTTCGATTGCGCCTGTACGTATACATCTCGTTGTCCGAGAATTTTTCCAAGACAGGATACTTGATTTTTTTTACATACACTCTAAAAAGTGTGTTTAGCTTTTACAACACATTAAGTTTGCTATCACTTTGCAAACATATTTGGATGCCAAACAGTTAGCGTTCAAGATCCTCAGCATTAATGCCCAGTGACTAAATACAATCCACTGAAATCTGAATGGCACCAAATCGTTTAGAAAAGTTTTTACTTGCTAAACACACTTTCTGCTGAGTGATCAACAGTTTTATTCGTAGAAGCAGGTAATTAATTTCGAGGCCGGTTCGCACTTGGCGCGAAATCGAACACAAACGCGCGAATTCAACTCGAACGATATTTTGCTGCAAATCTTTCGCGAGGTTAAATTCGCTTCGCTCTCGCATTCGCGTGTAGTGTGAATCGGCCTGTACGCCAAGACAATCTGAAAAGACCGTTCATGCTCGACAAAAACAAAAAAACAAAGCGCAAGCGCGACCTTGCATCTGACATCAGACTAAATACTCACGCAATGAATTTGCAGAAGTGGAACACATCTAGAGCTAAATTTGCTCCAACTTATATTTTGCGACGTCAGATACTTTGCGAAGTACGAAACGGTCTTTGAGATTTCTTTACAAAGTTTCACAAAATGCACAGGGCCATGAGCAAGTTTACAAAAAAAGGCACGCTTTGTCTCTGCGAACTGACTGCGCACCGTGAACATGTTAACGGCGGGAGGGAATAAACCGCACTTCTACCAAGCAGATATACATGTACATACCTTTCAAGTTTATCGCCAGGGCAAAGATGACCAATAAGCCGAAGAACTTCGCCATCGTTGAAACAGTTCTCCCAGGATTGCGAACTTGAGCTACACGGATAAAATATATGCTACGGCAGCGTAGGTGAGAGCGCAGGTGTGGGCCTGTCAGCAGAGAGCAGAATCTGCAAGAGCGCATCTCCTCTTATACCCTTCGCTCCGTCACCCATGCACCCGAACAGGGCCCTGGGAAGGGCTGATAGCTCGCACTCTGATTGGCTATATTGTGCACGACTTGTGACCGCGAGGTTTACCAGCTGGTGTTAGCGAAGCATTGCTTAAATGTTTGGATCGCCACAACTGCCATTGTTTGACATGGGCAAAGTGTCCGCTGTGTATTAAAAAATATGGCCTTGGTGCAATCGTAGTGTTGCTTATCTTTTCACTAACTGTCACTGATGATAAACAATAAAAGATAAAAATAAGAAACGCTGTACATATACTAAGAACTAAAAAAAGCTAAAATCTAAAGAGCCAAATAAAACTATGCAAAACAAGAAAAAAACATCGAACTAATATCCGCCGCTCGTGTAACGCACTGGGAGAGAGCTCGCGCGCCTGGCAGAAATGTACCCACAATGCTCTGCGCGTCCTTAGCTGTGACCCTCTTCAGTCGCTGGGCGACGAGCAAATTTATACCCCAGCTTGACAGTCTGAGCACCCAGCTATAGTGCAGACTAGTGAGCTATTTCGAGTAGTGGTATACCGGATACTAGACTTAAAGCAATTTAAACAAGCAATTTTGGAGGTTTGGTTGGGTTTATTTATTCTTACATTCGTGGCCAAAGGCCAAATTACCGTAAAAATTTACAAAACATTACATTTACAAATAAGTTACTAAATTATTTTAAAAACATTAAAACAGTTACAATCAAGTCAGCACAAGAACATTAAGTTGATGAACATTAACAACGACAAACTTTAAAAAGTATGCCAGGGGAAGAAGTACATGTAAAATAAACGTAACACGAAAATTTAACGGCCTGTAAATAATTACAGTCTACCTGTAGTATGGAACCAATTAATTGAAAAAGCTAGCAGGAAAAAAGTATAAAAGCATACTGAATGTAAGCACAAAACCAAAGCAGTAAGAAAGCACACAAAATGCATAGTACAAAAATTAAAACAAAACAAACGAAATAAACAGTTACACGACTGGAGTGACTATTTAACTATACTCAGAGAGGGACTATCAATGACCGTGTGGGGCAGGTCATTCCATTCCGTAGCTGTCTGGACAAAATGAAAATATTTGAGACAATCAGTTTTAGCAAAGGGAATACAGTGTAGTTAATTTCAAGCTCTGATCTTTTCGGCTAATTCGTGAAGGTGGAGCAAACTTATTAATAACATTGACATTAATAATGTTATTCACAATTTTATAGCAAAGCCCAAGGCGAAAGAGTTTTCTTCTTGTTTGAAGACTTCTCCAGCCAAGTCGAGAGAGCAATGAATCATAGCTTGAGTCCCAAGCGCTGCACATACATGTACATGTATATCTGACGCATTGATTTTGGATATGCTCGATGATGTCTGAATGGCTACGTCTATACGAGTCCCAAGCCGTGCAATAGTATTCTACCTGGGGCCTAATCAAGGAATTAAGTTTCCAACGCTCGGACCAATCACAAAGCGAATTTAAATCGGTCTGCTATTAAACGCAGGAGCTGGCTTTTCAATTACCTTGTACCCTGTCATGGAAATCACAGCCACATAACATGTTTACAATTCATTTCCGTCATCAGTTTGTCACGTCTCGAAGCCGGATGATGGCTTCAATTAAGCATCACGTGCGTGTGTGCCACTGATTTCAAAATCATTCCTGGGATAATCGGGACGAAGGTCGCCTCAGGTTCATGACTGGATTGATCCCCTGTTGTGCACGCCACAACATGAAATTCAAAACTGTTTTTTTTCTTCTGTGTATGATATGCATTTTTACCACCGAGGCTGGGTATCTACAACGTGCGCTGTAGAGGGCTTCGTTATTTTTATCCGATGGGATCGGGGATTGTACAAAAATGTAAAATGATTCTACGAAACATTATCCGCTCAGAACTGGGCCAAAGATGGCGCAAGGAGCTTCTTTGGTCGAAACTGTACTTCGCTCTTACGGTGGGTCACAAACGGGTATGAAATGCACGCCTTACGGTCGCGTTGCTGCCAGCAATACGGGCAATTCACAATAGCGCACCACCAAGAATTTGCAGCACGTTGGCCAATCATAACGCGCGAAATTTGTCGACCCTTTCCAAACGCGCACTGGGTCGACAAATTTCGCGCACTGTGATTGGCCAACGCGTTGCAAACTCTTGGTGGCGCACTATTGTGAAACGGCCGTATATGAACACTCCCGACCATGCTCCTTTCAACCGAAGAGGGTGTGCTTCTGCTCAAGGTGGTACCATAAAGATCATAATTAGGACTTGAGGGGACATGACACCGGGCACGTAAAATTGTCCCATAACTCACGAACAACTCTGAACCTCCCAGACGCCTACGTGTGAGTATGAAACGCGCACGAGCGCCCTGAGACGTGACGCGCATCTATGTTGATGACGTCAATAAATCAAAACCGGACCAGACAACATGAGCGCGTATCCTCCACAGACATATCGACGCATAGACCGCCATGTCCTATTCAAAAATACAGAGGGTTTTCGTGATCTGTGCAGCACCCGACTAAAACCAAAACTATGGGCTAATTCACCCCTCGGTATAGGGAATTTACGCAAAGTTGAAGAATTCCAGCCATAAAATTCTATGAAGCCGTTTTTTTATTGTAAAAAACCCTCTATTTACTTAATCTGGCCCCTAGGAACTCAAAACAAGGCGGTTGTAACAGTTGAAAAGAAGAGATAGCAGTAATGAAGAGCAAAAAAGGTGAACGTATTTGGAAGCACAAATACAATACAAATAAACAAATACAAGCAATATAAGTGCGCGTAATGGGCACTGAACGCGCTGTCATCCACCGTTCCGGCCATTGTTTGCCCTTTCTTTTCAAAATCGCGGTTATACGCGCAAGACCGGCGGTCTATGCGTTTAAATGTCTTTGGTATCCGCCCCGAGCTGAAGTGCACCCCCAATCGGCGAAAAGAAAGACAGGTGGTTACAAACGGGTTCTTGCACGCGTACTGCGTGTAGGCAAAGACCATACATGCCGGAACATAGGCTGCGTCCGAATCTGTTGTCTAGAGCTAAATCTAGGTTTTCATTCCATGGGAGATGCGTGGAGACGCGCAGACAATAGACCTAGTCGTAGCTCTGGAATCCCGTTTCGGACACGGCCACAGTTAGGGGTACTCAGTGTGCTCCGCGTCAAACGCGCACATACTTGCGCACCTTATGGCGCGTCTATGCAGTGAGTACATTGATCTCCATTGTAGTGAGTACAAAAAACACGCCCTCTTCAGTCTCGCTCGGAGCGGATAATAGGGAGGTTTAGGCCCTGTCCGATACGGGCTTCCAGAGCTACGGCTAGGTCTATTGTCTACGCGTCTCCACACATTTCCAATGGAGCGAAGACCTAGACCTAGCTCTAGACAAGAGATTCGGATGCAGCCTTATTAGTTGCATGTTCTACGTGAACGCGAGCGCGAAAAAAGTGTGGACTCTCGCGGGCGTCATTCTTTCGTGCGTAGGCCTATTGTCTCTCACGTACGGGTTGTTTGAGCACGGACGTCCAATCCGCGAAACATGGCAAGTTCACGTTGGATCAAAACGTGAGAAACTGCAACTGTTTTGGAAGGTTTAAATTGTGCATTGAACATTCGCTGATACGAAATGGACATTTTTGAAAAGTGCACAGGTTATGCAGTTGGGATTTTTTCATGCTTGGTTTATGATGATTCCGATCACACTTCTTTTGAGAGATTTACCAGATGTGATTGATCATTTGTCCTTTTATTGAAGTGTTCATTGGAAGATGTACCTTTTGTTCGGGACGCGCATCTAAACTTCAAGCAAGCATTTGACGCCCGCGCACCCACGCGCGAATAAAATATTGTCGCGTTTGCGTTCACGTGATACGCGCATCTAATTCCCTAAAACTAAGTGTGTTAACATGACAGTGTAATAAAAAATGTCGCCCTGTTCACTGGGGCTAAATTTCCTCAACGTAAAGAATAGGCCTGTCATCTTTAGCTGTACAATTATAATCTCTATGGGCGGTTCATTACTCGTTACCATAATGCTGAAAAGGCTCTTTGCCCAGATTTGCAGGCGTATGGCCCTATCTTCCTTTCGCTTGGACAATACTATTCCCTTCCCCTGAGACAAAAAAAAAAAAAAAAAACACCGAGATTGCGTTGTACAAGGCTAACCCACCCCGGCTCAAGTGAACCCTCATTGGCAGAACTCTGAGGGACAGGCTGATTGGAACTTTTTTGGCCGACTCGCGTAAACGCCAGGCACACCCATGTTTTCCAGTACTCGACTTCGTTTCTGTCTCAGGCTTCATCTTTTTTTTTTTAAACCACCCGAAACATTGAGGTTTCCACTGGACTGACGCGATAGATTTCTGGTCATCTTATTTTCAGTGTTTATTTTCTTAAGTCAAAAGATTTTCTGTGCTTTTCTGTTCATGCCAAGGCAAATTTCCAAATTCATGAAGTAAAATAAAGGTGCTTTTTCAAGGGCTGTTGTAAAACGGGGAGTCGACCCCCTCCCGAAAAAAAATATAGGGAAAACAAAACAAGAGTTCAAAGTGCAGCAATGTCGCTGTAAACAATGTTTATATGTATACTGTTTTACCATCGTTTGCGCTTGTCCGCAAAAATGAGATATGAAAAAATCTCCGGCGTGATCCCTCCTCCGGAAAAAATTCCTGGATCCGCCCCTGGAACAGTGTCATCTTTGCATGACATATTCACCCCTCCGTTGTCCCCAAAGTATGGACATTTTAAAATGCTTCCAAAAAGTGTACACCGTGAAGGTAAACTTAGGATTTCTAGATTTTGAAATAGCTCGTTTGAAAAATCCTAAAATCAGGAAAATCCTGACAATTCTCACCCCTGTACTTTTTTTATTTTAAAAAGTTATTCGCCCCTTATTATTATTATTTGTCTCAGAGCGGGGGTTCCATCCCCACCCCCCGATCCGCACCCATGTTAAGTGTACAGATTTTTCTGTATAAAATATTTTACTCATTGAAAACTTTCCGAAAAGGGTTGCTCACTGGATAATGCAATAACTTTACACAATGGATCACCGGGGAAGAGATAGTCCGGCCATGAAATATTGAGGTTTTCCCAATTAGAGCGACATCACAGTTTGCGTCACAAATCATCGTCATATTTGCATTATCATATCACCGAAAGGGGCACCAAAATGCCTTTTGACTTAGGAAAGCAGAAAATGAAAATCGGATGAAAAGAAACCAAAGGGCCATTTTTAAAGGTTCTGGTTAAAATGCAGTGCACAGACTTGTCATTATTTTGATGAGGCGACTTTCATCCTGTTGGACTTTTGACACTTGGAGCGAACAAAGTCGTGCTGCATGACGAAAAACGATTTGTTTACGCCTAGTTGAAGCCATGTATATGGAAAATCGTTTTAAGCCACAGAGTTGCATTAAATTACAGCCCTGTTTATAACACAGTAACATGCATCTTCTCACAGGGTTTTCCATGGAGGGTGAATTAAAAGCATCGCACGATATATTGCTCTCCCTCAACATTCACCTGTCGGTTTTGCCGTCTAGTTTTTTCTTTTATATAGGCCTACATGAATTTATTATTTTAAATTACACTGGCAAGGTCAAGTAGACTGAATAGTGGCAGACAGGGGGGGGGTGATTGGAACATAACCACTTCTGTGAGCGGGCACAAGGGAACAAACAATACTAATGTTCATGGGTAATTCCAGAAATTATGTGTCGATTTACCGTGTCCCTGTCATATCTGACTACGATTTTGTATGTTCAGAACACCTTCTCTAATTTCCATGAGTGATGAATTTATGCAAATTACCTGCCAAACAAATAGTATTAGTTTGAAATCAATTCCAGTGAATTCCATGTCAAATAACGAAGATCAGATAAATAGACGGTCGGACAGACTGGCTGACTGATGAATAACTAACTGCTGACCGATTGACCGAACGAAGTTAAAGTCGTCAGTTGGGGACTCTAATCAACGGGTGAATGGTTGTGGGTATGTGCAGGCGTGGCCCGCATACAGTGTGGACCTCTGCACAAAGAAGTCCACACAATGTAGGGTAGGCTGGCGTTGTGTGGACTTGCACACGTCCACACAATGTTTTCCCCTCTCTAAAAAAAGTTTCTGAGGTATTTTGCGGTCAAGGTTATCTGTGGCAAAATGAAGAGGCACAGTCCAGGAAATCATCATCAAAAATGCAGCTCGCAGGAGTTATCCAAGTTGGAGAAAAGGGAGCATTTTCTCGAGTTTCCTTAACCACAGGAGAACAAAGGAATGTCCACACTTTGTATATAACTCAGGAGTGCTTGGACACACAAGGGTGAGCCACCTTTTCAAGCCAATTAGTTTATTTGGCTTAAAAATCTGAACAATATTTTATTTTACAACAGTTGGAATAAGATGCACATACACAAAAGTAAGGCTCAAATCTCCCCCCAAATATATATGTGCGTGTGTGTCGAATAACAATAATAAAATTAACAATCAAATTGGTACAAAAAAGTGAAGACCTTCAAGTCTTTGAATATTTCCCCTGAAACATAACACCCCGCGCTCAAGTTTCAATATTTCTTGTTAAAGTCTGATAGACTGATGAGTCAGTTTTAAAGTTAAATAATTGAAGAAACTGACGACACTACTGTGCGGTTACTTCTTCGTCTGAATCAAATTCCACATCTTGGTCTTGTACCCAGCCTCCCCTCCAGTCAGTCTTCCAACCAGAACTGCAAATAAAGACAGGAAAACTGCCGCTGTTAACAAATACAAACTGAAGTCTGGTTGCTGTGCTAAAGGCAAGGATGGTGTGGTGGTCATATGCACAGTCTCATTGTCTCTAATGGGCATACAGTTGTGTTCAAAATTATTCGTGCCCTTTGGAAAATAACATACTTTTCCAAATTCTTCATTTGTAAAAGCTATTGTTGATACTTCAAGTATATCTTTTGTCTATTTGTTAAAATACACAAACCCCCATGTGTGTTGGCTGAACTTCACTTGCTTATTAACAGATACGACTCGGGTTTCTTTTTTACTCCTGGTCAAACTTATTCATGTTACTATTATGTGGTTGCCACCACCATCAAGTATGGTGGCGGCAAACATAACGTTATGGGG